GGCCAAAACTAAAGCAACTGAAATTACAAGGAGAATGAATGCCATGTAACTTTTTTAAAAATTAAGAAAATGAGAAAGTTTTTCTAGTTTTAAATTAGGCACTTTATTTGCCTTATAAAAACTTAAAACAAAAAACCAAAATTAATTTTTATATAAAAAATAATGTATGGTAAGGTCGATTAACCCGATTTTGGCTTGGACAAAACAAAAGCAACTCTGTTGTACATTCATATAACCGCTGCAATGTCAGTTGTTTTACTGTTATATCTATTGCTTTTTGTTTCCTTCAACAATTTCGCTTGTCATAAACTATTTTTGAGAAGTTTTCTTACAATAGCACGTGTTTGTTTTCGTTTTTTAAGTACTGCCCAAAAAAGTTTAAAAATGGCTTGAAGGAAATACAGTACATGATTAAAACAGCAAATTATCAGTGTTTATGAAAATAAGATATCACAGAAAATGATTTCCGAGAAATATTTCATAAATATATCTTCGATTTCTCGTATACTAAGTCGGTTTTATGCAACTAGAACAGTAGTAAGTCTATACCGGATAAAGGTCATGAAAAACTTCAGCCCGTACTGATCAACAAATTGTGAGAGAAATAAAAAAACAACCATTTAAGAGTCCAACTGAGTTGGTGAGAGAGCTATCATTGGATATAAGCTCGAGATCAGTACGTAGACGAGTAGTGGCAGCTGGTCTGCATGCCCGTAAGCCATCGACAAAGCCATTTGTATCAGAAAAAATCGGAAAGCCTTTCGAAAGCGATAATATTAATTGGAATCCAGCTCAATGGAAAAACATTTTATTATGGGATGAGTCTAGCTTTAATATTAAAGGCTCAGACATGAAAACTTTTACGGTGAGAAGACCAAAAATTGAAAGAATAAAGCCGTAGTGTTGCAAAAGTACAGTAAATCATGAGGGAGGGTAAAAAATGGTGTGGCGCTGTTTTTCTTTGTATGGACTTCGGCCTATCCATGAAATAGAAGAAACTATGGATCGGTTTGTTTGCAAAGATGAGTTGGACCTCATGTTGTTCCCTTTCGCTGAGGAAAATATTCGGCTTATTTGGGTGCTTCAACATGACAATGATCCAAAACATGCATTAAAACTTGTCAAAGATTGGCTGCGGGAGTCAAAAATCGATGTTTTGTCATGGCCTGCAATCACCTGACCTAAACCCCATAGAAAACCTTCGGAAACAAATAAACACAACATTTTCCAAAGAATTCAGGGTGCCTGGGAAAGCATACCCAAGGATCAAATTGAGCGTGTTATAGATTCAATGCCTCGTAGGTGTGCAGCTGCTATCTAAAATAATGGTTATGCTATCGACTAGCCAAAATTTAATTATTTTATAATAAAAAATCAAAAAGTTGCTTTAGTTTTGACCAAGCAAAAAATTGGATCATTTTCTTTTTCCTTATATTATTTTTCATTCAAAATTATTTTTGTATTTTCATTTTAAGTTTTTTAAAACTGAATAAAGTACCTCATTTAAAACTGGAAAAATAAATACGACTTGTTTATTTTTGTAAAAGTAACCGGGTATTTATTGTATTTGCGATTTCAGTTGCTTTAGTTTTGGCCACCAGTGTATATCATTATAATAATTGTGCCCCAAATGTGCAATACAAGCCAAAATTGAAAAGATACAAATTCTTCGGCAAATTAAATAATTTGAACTTAAATTATAATTATAATCATAGCTTGTTGATGATTTAATTATCCAAAAAAAAAAAAAAAACTTTTAATTGTTATGTGAAGCTCTACTAAATATGCAAAGTGGTGACTTTAAGACTTTCTTTACTGGTTATTATTAATTGACTAAAATGAAGATTAAATATTTGGCTATGACACATAATTATTTTAAACAGGTATGTATTAAATGCAAACTGAAAAAACGTTTTTCTATCGTTCATTACGCAGATTTATAATATTTTATAGGGTACAATAATTTCGAAGGTATGGGAAGGTCTTAGTCCAAGTTTACTTTAGAACTTTTTATAGGATTAACCTGCTTTATTTTATTTGAAGTATAAGTGATGTCCACACATTTCCTTGTGAGTTTATTTGCTAACAAACTATTCTATTCAATTATTATATAATATCCACTAATATACATATTTATTTATGCTTTCTCTAATGATGTTCATTACTTTATTTAAAGCAATTTATGTATATCTTTATCTCTATTTCCTAAACAAAAACAAAACATAAATAACAACAACAAAAAGCAAAATTAATGGGCAAATTGCTCGGCAATGCCACTGGTATGGAAGTGTTCTGAACTGTAAATTTACGAAAATCCGAAGCTAAGCTACCAAGTTACTTAACTAAGAAATTTTGAAAACGACAGACTGGGAAATTCGATGCTGGTCTCACAGCAATTGTATACCGCCAAGGAGCCTTGGTTCGGAATGGCGGCATGACACCACCATCTTCGCCAGAAACACCCGACGGACAATGCATGACTGTGCGTTTCGACCCGGCGTCGATGCAACAGAAGACCGGCACTAGAACTTCAGCACCAAACGTCTGTCAGGCAAATTTATGTTGGGAGAACAATAGTGTGACGGATGTCCACTGAGCAGATCTGCAAACACTAATAACGGTCTAGCGATCAATGTCCAGCTACGTGCCATCACAAACAGAAGACACACACTTCCGCTGGCATATCGTACAAATTTTGTATATATGCTTAGTATTTTTGGAAAAAGCATATGAGAATTATAAGCATATAAAAAGAGGGGTGTATTAATAGTTAGTGCTTATTGAACATAGCTGTGTATGTAACAGAGTTGCATTTTAGACTGCGACATCTACCGATACATTGGTTAAAACGATAGAGTTGTATTTTTGGGGGAAAAAATTGTGTACAGCGCCATCTAACAACAGTATTTTTGGAAAGGGTTGCTAAGTTTATCTAATTTATTTAGTGGAATTATCAACATCTTTTTTATTATTTTTTGTTGTTATTTTCGATGTTAATAAAGAAATAATCTTTCTTTTACTCACGACGTATAAATAATAAGAAAAAAATCCATTAGTTTATTTAAAGATGCAATGAATGTTTTTTTACAACTTTTTCCTGGTCGAATTCTTAAGGCAATTATAATTTTTTTGGCAATCAGTGGTTTATATAATTTTAATCTTATGTCAGACTGGACATATCAAAAAAGTTGCAAGATTCAACCGAAGTGCATCCATCTGACGAATGAAGTGTAATATTTGTGAAGGAGTTGCATAAACTCATGTGAGGGAAAAGAAAGCATTTAGTGTCAAAACAACAGAAGGCAGTGGGAACTAGGAAACATTTGTTTGGTAATAATTTTAAGAAATTTTGTAGAAACATTTAGTATTTTTGCTATTACCTATGAATTAGAAAGTTATTGCTCTGCAGTGGGATTCTCTAACTCATTTTTTGAGTTATTGACAAAAATCGGTAACTTTGAAACCCAAAATTTTGATATAAAAAATAAGTTAATGTTGACAACATAGGTATCTATCGGTAGGTCTTAGCGACAACTTTACTCGTAAATTACCGAAATTATGAGCATTTTTATTTTACCGACTTTTGTCGGTAATTCCAAAAAATGAGTCAGAGAATTCCACTACTGGTCCAAATTCTTGCATTCGATATCGAAAAAGTTTCGTAACAAATTTTTATATGCGCATTTTTTGATTGATAAAAATTAATACTTTTGCACACACATCTGGTCTTCAAATTTGCCATTCAAAACTAGTCAAAAAACTAGTAGCCGGCCGAAATTTGTTCGGTATAGGGAGAATCTTTTCTGAATCAGGTTCTGGAACAGGGCAATTGTAAATATTATAGGAATAGTCCGAAGTGAGATATATTATTTAAAATTCTGTAATAACAAGCAGTAAAGAAAGTCTTAAAGTCGGGCGGGCCGACTTTATGATACCCTACACCACTTTACATATTTAGTAGAGCTTCACGTAAAACAAGTTCTTATGGGAACTTTGTGAGATAAAAATATATATGGGAGCTATATCCAAATCTGATATTATTCCCCAAAATTTCGTCGTTACAGCGTACATATTACGGCTGCGGAGGACAAAAATAACAAATCGGAAGAACCACATATAAGGGAGCTATATCTATATCTGAACCGATTTCGATCAAATTTGACATACTAGTTTCTATACTCAATTTGGTCGTAAGTGCCAAATTCCATCACATTTGGGATAGCATTGCAAGTTTGGCGCACAATAAAAGCCATAACGGCTATATCTAAATTTTGGCCGATTATCTCCAACAGGGTTCGTCCTTGGGTCAAACAAATGATTGGTGCAAAATTTTATCTCGATCGGCAATAAATGCAACCTGTACTTTGATTACAAAATACGTGGACTGACGGACGGACATTCATAAATCGACTCAGAATGTGATTCTATAGAACTATGGTTCTATCTGGTTTCCTTTTGCCCTTTACAAACAAATGCACAGACACATAATACCCTGACCACCTTGTGGTGTAGGGTATAAAAATGCATATTTTCGACGATATTGCGGAATAAATTTTACAATTTTGAAATAAAACTTTTGCTCTCTTCCAGAATCTGCATGGGTTCAGTTTGTGCCATGGTATACATCATGGTAGAAGGATACGGGTAGATGCATCAACGCTTGGAAACATTGATATATTAAAAACATGTAAATGTCTTTTCAAATATAAGTAGATTCTTATATGTTTTCTAATACGACGTCATTCGGAGGTTATTATAACACGCGTTTTCCAACAATTTTTAGGAATTTAAATAATTTTTCATACAACATTTTCAATTCTAAAATTGGTAAAAATGGTATGAATGGTACATTTTTTGCTTTTTTCTTCTGAAATGTTTTTCTTCTTTTCCATTAAAATTTCCGTCTCTATCAAACAAAGTCAGCTGTTGAAAAGTTCAAAATCGCAACTCCTTCCCTTGCCAAAAATCGATTCTTTCGTTTGGCCAAAAATCGATTTTTAAATCCCTAAGTTATTCATAGCTAAATTTTCATCAAGTGCGTGCGCTTCCCGTTCCGGAAATTTTTGTGGCAGCACAAACAAGTACCTATAGATCGTTTTACGTAAACGATAAATTAGACTCGTGCTCCAGCAACGACTGCATTATGGTAATTCCCAAAGAAATACTCAGCGACTACAAGGAGATCTACGAGAAGGCCTTTAAACTCGTCAACGATGAGAGTAAAAATGATCCACCCACAGACCCGTATAGGTCGCATTATGCCGCAAGGGATTTGCTATTGCAAATGAAGGAGAATCTCAAGAATGAATTGGTCTCAGTGCAAGCCGAGGAGGCCGATGATGGTACAGATGACTTCACCTACAAAGTGCTGCAGTCATTTGTTTGTCGTGACTTGGGACGTATTTATGTTTTCTGTGAAGAGCCTAGTACGGGAGAAAAGTGCTTGCAAGATTGTTTGAACTTAGTGCAGGACCGTAAACTGGAACCCCCGGCTATTATACCATATATGGGTGCCATGAACGAAATGGGCATAATCTATGCAAATCGCACTGAGTATAAGAAATCGTTTGAATACTTAGCTGAAGCCGAAAAATCGTATAAGGAATTTATGCAGACCAAGAAAAGTCCATTGGCAATAACTGATGTTTTCGGGACTGCCGACGAAATTGAGCCAGGCAAGGGACTTAAAGAACTGGAAAGTCTGTACACACTTTGCTCATTCTATTTGGCACAGGTCTATGGTCATTTGGGTGAATTAGAAAAATCAGCTCAATACTGTCACATGACATTGAGGCGCCAGGTTGAGGCTAAATCCTATGAACCCATAGACTTTGCCTTAAATGCAGCAACGCTATCGCAGTATTTTATAGGACAAAATATGTTTAAGCAAGCACGTCATCATTTGGCGGCAGCTACTTTGGTGATGTCAGAACACGAAGCAACTATGTTAACACCCCCCAATCTGACAGAGGAACAGAAAGCTGATATTCAGGAGACATTTAAACATCGTTATGCCGATGTGGCCAGATGTTGGGCCAAATATGGTTTGGCGCTGTTATCCGCATCTAAAGATCGTCTCTTCAACGATGATGAAACGAAGTTGGCTGAAGGTGAGTAAAGTAAACATAAAAATATGGGAGTTTATGCAAGCCAGTTTGTTAATGATTAACTTTGATGTGAAGAGAATGATTTAACACAAAGTAGTTCTTAGGAAGGAAGCACATACATAGGAGTCGCCAGCTATTTCACTCGGTGACCTTTGGTAAATTGTGTCCGTAATAGAAAGTATAGGGGGCTACATATAGAAGTAAAAAGAACATTTGAAGAGATGTTGTAGCACGGTGGTTCGATCCGTTCAAATGGCCTTTGTCTCCTGTTTGTTAACATGGGGCATCTTAATAGTGTGTGTTCAATCGCCTTTACATCCTCACATAGTATAATTTATTTGTATAATTTTTGTCAAAAAAATCATATTTCCTTTTCAGACATTACTTTTAATATCAAGGGATATAAGATCGGCCAGTAATCCCGTCTGACGAACAACTTTTTAATTTAAATTTTCCCTGGACAGGAACAGAAACTTGTAAATTCGGACTTTTATTTTTTCGGAACTTTTCTCATAAAGTATACCCATCAAGTATAGTATAAGTATAGTATAGCCAAGTATTTTTGGCAAGCGTTTTTAAGTAGAGCCTGACATCAATGTAAACAAAGTCATGGAAGAAAACGATATGACTTCTACTCGATAGTTTCGACTTAATTTAAATTTGATCATAGAATGTGCTGAGCTGAAAGTCTGTGTCAGTTTTCAGGAGCTTTGGTCGTTCGGAAGCAAAGTCTCGATTTTCGTCTTAAAGATTTTTGCTCTCACATCACTCTTTTCTTCCACTCCATTTTTGACCACTTTTTAATGCGAGCTAGGACGTCAAAGTTTACCCCAATGTAACAATATTATGCTTAAACACTGCATTTTACGTTTTGTGGAAGTATTAACGATTGGTATTACACAATTCCTGGAGAAAATATTCCCAAATACTGAAGGATCCAATAAGCATTGGGAAATAACAAATTTAAATAGGGTTCCTGTAAACAAAACTACATGAATGGACAGATGGTAGCTTATCTGAATATGACCTATTGGTCTACCCCGTCTTCTTTTGTTAGAAAAAAAATTAAAAAGTATTAGTCGGTTTTGCCGACAGATGTTTACCCTCATATATATATATATATTTTGAATACTTTTCAGGAGTAGGTTTCGAAGGAATTCGTCCATTTCCTATCGGACCTAAATAATATAAATATTGCAACATGCCAGGTTTGAATTATATTGATTACTCCCTTCACTTTATATGAAATGTGTGATAATTTTTAAAAAATGTTAATATGCGTGTGGGGTGCCAGATATATTCGACCGAAGCATTCCATTTTCAAACATCGTCTAAAACAGATAAATAAAATTGGTATGGGCAAAATTACAAGAAAATCTAACATTTATATCCAATTTTATGCGAAATCATAAATTCCATATTCATCTCAGGTTTCTGGTTGAGAGAAATATTTAGAGTTTAAGTATTAGAGCAAGTTGAAAAGAATCGCTGTGTTGTTTCGGAAGTTATGACAGATAAAAGAATTGAAATTTGTTATCAATATTTTGAAACCAGGAACCAGAACAAAACCAGGTACTATCTTTGTAACAGATCTTGTGTTGATAGAAATATTAAGATTTGATAAGTCTGAATGGGATCGTGTTATATGAGCTTCACTGATATTCAAAATGTTTATCCTTTGTGGGAGAGGTACCAGAATGAGTGGACCGATATATTACATCTTCGCACCAGACCTTGAATTGATAAAAAATATTGTGATGTGTTTAATTTGATTATTTCGTTTTGGTTTTTCAAAATTGTACCCCTTTGTGGGGGAGGTACCAGAAGGAATGGTCCGACTTTATCATCTTTATAACAGATCTTGTGTTGATGGACATATTGAGATGCGCCAAGTCTGAATGGAATTGGATCTTAATTTCGTGTTTTATAAGTATATAAAATTTTGACCCTTTGTGGGGAAGTTTCCGGAAGTATTGGACCGATATATTCCATATTCACATCAGACCTTGAATTGAAAAAAATATTGTGATGTGTGTAATTTGAAGACAATCGGACACTTACCTCACATATTATAAGAGTTTAAATTATTCCAAATTTTAACCGTTTGTGGGTACCTCTGATGGAGTGGACCGATATTGTCCATTTTTGCACCTGACCTAGCACTGATGCAAATATTACGAAATGCAAAGTTTGAGCAAAATCGGATTATCCTTTCTCTTTCTGTGCAGTAAATTATTTTCTTTGAAAATGTTGACATTTTGTGGGAGAGGTACCAGAAGGAGTGGACCGATATTTCCCATCTCCGAACCTGATCTGAGTTTGACAATAATATTACCATGTACCAAGTTTGGATCAAATCAGATACTCCCCTGAAACGGATTTTGGTCCAAAGAGACCTAGGGTCTAACACCGTTATTTCTATGAGGCACGTTTTAGCCGTATCAAATAATATATACCCTCTGTAGCTATGTAGCTGAGGGTATAATAACCTGTATCATAATGTGGTGTAGGCTATGAAATGCCTCATCTTGTTTTTGGGTATTTTTACGGCCACAATTCTTTTGAAGCTTATTACAAACTGTAGTTTTGCGTAGCCTTTTTCGCACTCATTGTGACTATCAATGCAAATTTTCTTTATCTAAGCTTATATCGTATCGACTGGGCGTCGGTGATCAATCAGTCATTCATACCTTAATCTTTCACATTTAGATACATTATTTAAAATAAAAATAAGCAAATGTAAGTACGACCGGACCGAGGTTTTAAAAAACCCAACATGAAGAAAATAAAAAAAAAAATAATAATATTTCAATTATACAATTTCTTATTATTTTCAATCTTTTTAACCCTGAAAGATGGTACCCATTTGGTTGCAAAATATGTAAAGAATGTTCAAGTGAAAAATATTATGGTGTTAACATTATATTAAACCTTGAATTCGTATTGAAAAATGTTTGCGAACAGGCTTTCTACAGATTGAGATTGTAATAGTGTTTTAACACGTTCGCAAATGCTGCAATTATTGATAGTCATTTTTTTTAACTGCTTTAAAATGGCATTTGATTAAAAATATACTATAGGAGTATTCAGGACATCGTATGAATGGATCTAGTGGCCATTATATTCCAATTTATAAATTAATATGGATACAACTTAGTTGTACAAATTAAATGCTATAACATTCACGACCGCGAACGTGCCTAACTCGATTGAGAATAGTTTGAACGACATCATAACAAGCGTTACGTTTTTGAATTGTCATACCTGTGTTTTTCGAGTCTACTTTCCAATCTGTTTAAACATTACATACAGCAATACTGACATTGCACCGTTGTTCTGAAATCCGTAAAATTGTGTACAACTCTCTTATGTCAACATATGGCCTTGTAGCTGTGTCTGGTTATAATAGATTCCAAGTTCGCTGATAAAATATTCAATATCTTACAAGGAATTCACATTGGTTCAACGCGAACAACACATATTCTAAGAATTCAGGACGAAAAAATGTCTAAAAATAAGTAAAGTATTATATGGGGAAATATATGAATTCGTGGTTTTGTTGTCATGCTGAGCCAACTTGACCTTTCACAGATCCCAGAACGATAGGAAGTAGGTAGACAGCCTCAAGTCTCATAAAAAAACTGATTGCAAAAAAATCTGGAAACCAGCGTGAGTTTTGTTTTCATTTTATAATGGCGCAATAAACAATTTAAACACGGGTTCATATTGAACATGTTTATCTAAAGATACACAGGTAGAATGTGAGGATGCATACATGTAATCTATTTTGTAATTCTTTAATTTTTTAGAACACAAATATTTATTTATACACAAATAAACCGCCATGTTTTTTTTTTTTTTTATTTTCAGATGCCAAACGCTTGAAAATCAATGAAAATGCATATCTTTTTGCTGATTTCCCATTGGATACCTATGAAAAACGTATTACCTGTGATTATTGTTTAACATTTGACGATGCCAAAGAAGTCTATCACTTTGTTATTAAGTGGCTTGATATTGCCAAAGAACATTACAAACCGGATACCGATGCAACTGAGTATGCGAAAATTATTAACGATTTCGCCGAACTGTATCAGCATATTGCTTTCTTTGAAGAAGATCCAGTCAATCAGTCGAAAATGCAAAAACGTCGCGCCAAATACTACGAAGAACTTCTTGAATTGCTCAATCCTACCTTCTACTTGTCCATATGTCGTGAATCGTGGTATGGAGCTGGGCTTGCTTACAGCGCCATACTCGATATTAAATTAGATTTACTTAAAGCTAGTCGTACACCAAATCCCCAGGAATTGGGTAAAATTAATCAAGTCTGCCAGCAAGCCATTAAAAATTTTAAAAGTTACATCGAATCGTATACCGAAAAGGATGGTTCATGGAAACCCAACATGGATGTGGAGGAACAGCGCACTGTTTTGTATGCCCATTTCCATGTGGGAAGACTGCACTACAAAATTATAACTCCCGATCAGAATTTGCAATTAGAAAATCTCTCCAACAGCCTTAAATATTACAAAACCTTCATCGATGAATGCTCCAAATTGGAGGAACCAGCCAAAGCTTTGCAGGCAGAAGTTGGCGTTTGCCGGGAAATGGTTAATTTGTTGCCAATGAAAATAGCAAATGTGAAAAAACGTTTAGCTAAATAAGGAAAAAAGTGCGCTGTGTTAAATTTGTGCTGGATACAAAATATGCATTTCATTCTCACAACAAGAAGGACAAAGAAAGTATGTGTCTAATTTCTTTGTGTTTCTGCCTTACATACCTCTCAACTCTTGTCCATGTCTAGATAATTTATGCTTTTATAAAAATAAAATTGATCTGTATTTATTAATACATAACATTAGATATTGAAATCTATTTTAAGCTTTTTAATTTCAATCTTTCTCAAAAAAAAATATGAATAAATAAATTATCTTTTGAGATTGATTGGTTTTTATCTGTTATGTTTTGCAAATGTAAGCGATTTTTTTGTTCTCAATAAAGCAATATTGACCTAGAAAATATGTATATATGTACGTACTTTTTACTGCAGAATACTGGAAAAAAAATATGAATGAGAGAAATCTTTAGAAAAAGTAGCAATTTTAAACATTTTTAATATTTAAAATATTGTCTACAATTTTAATAAAAAGCAGTTGTCGTATTCACAATAGCATTCTGTGGTGTTGGTAAGACAATTTATAACTAAAATAAGTTCGTTACATTAAATCTTTCAACGTATTAATAAATAAAGGAAAATCTAAAAAAATCTTGCAGACATCCTCGTGTTGCGACTGACAAATAACTGGAGCAACAAATTAGAAATACTAAGCAGCAAAATGTAATATTGTGATGACATGCTTAAATTATAAAATTAATGTTAATGTTATTAATGTGTCATCTCGCATATGTAGACCACATTGGACCACCATAGAACATAATAGTTTTAGTTTCGCATTTCTGTTGATTAAGGGATACATAAAAGCAAATGTCGATATGGCTTTTGTGGTAATAAATAAACTAAATCCGTAGTTTCTAGTGAAGGATTCAAGCAAATCTCCTATTTATGAAAAAATTAAAGTACGGGTTATATTAAGGATGTGCAACAGAGCAAAGAATATATCACCAAAAGTGTAACCCATTCGGAAAAGAAAAGTATGGCAAATGTAAAAACGTTGTATAATATTTGGAATAAACATTCTTGGGGGCAATCCCATTCTATATCGAATTTTGCGACGAAGGTTGATGGGGATTTTGAGACCAAATTCGCTCCAATATTAACATTAAATGATATTTTACTTATACTTACTTGATAATAAATTTAATAAGGTTCAGTGGAAATTTAAAGTTATTTAATTTGTATATAAACCCGTTTTACAAGACTAAGTGAAAGCAGCCTTTGTGACCAATATAACCACTCCTGGCAACAATTTTCAAGGACCAACTTTTAAATTTCGAAAGGGAATGAGCTGTATTATGTTCGATTCCGAACACCCAACAGTTCAGCAGATATAGATGAAAGTTTAACTCAGTAACCATTTCAAAATGTTTAAAAATGTCAATTTATAATTTAAGCATTTCGAGACATGTCACAATTATATATTTAATGATGATTTGTATTTGCAATTATATTTCAGAGATGGGCATAATGCACTGTATTTTTAGTGCACTAATAATTTCACTATCACTGTTCATTTAGTGGATTCTGGATTGTTGTTCCCTTCTCACTTCAATAAACTTCGTTATAGCTGGTATAATACTTATATACATAGTGCTTTTTTGGCTTCGCTAAAATTTAGTGGTAGTGCAATTCTATTTTGAAAAATCACTAAATTTAGTGGTAGTGCTATTAAAATTTCACTACCACTAAAATTTAGTGGTAGTGCAATTTTTTTTAAATATCACTAAAGGGTTATTGGTAGTGCAATTTATTTTTCACTACCACTAACCCTTTAGTGGTAGTGGAATTAAAAATTGCACTACCACTAATTATTTAATTCTTAGTGCACTAAAAATTTAGTGCAATATGCCCAACCCTGTTATATTTTCTACCCTCTATCACACATATTATGGAGGGTTATTATGTTTGTGATTCCGTTTGTAACTCATCGAAATAATAATTTTAGACCCAACAAAGTATATACACTGTGAGATGAAAAAACTGCAACCAACTTCAGACTGCTGACATTTCTAACTAAGTCCGACAGCTGTTAAAATTATTCCAGTGACAGTTCAATATATTGTTTACAAGCGTACAAAAGCATTTTGGTGAGAATTTTCCAGAAAAAAATTATTCGTGATGGAATTCAAGCGTGATAGTTTGATTCCTTTATATTTGGCTAGAAAAAAAGTGGCTATTTTTAGAGCACTCCAGGATTTAAATGTGAATAAATATTTTGTGTCTCGTACCGTCGCTCGTTACCGTGATACTGGTAACGTAGCCCGACGTCAAGGAAGTGGACGGAGAAAACAGTAACATCAGCAGAAATGGTTCGAAAAGTAAATCGCGTCGCAGTGACCGAAAAATGGCTCATGAGCTGAACATATCGCAATATTCCATTCGGTAAATATTGCCAAATGAGCTCGGGGTAAAGCCTTTGAAATTGCAACAGAAAGAAAATAGAGTCAAAAGAGCTAAAGAGTTGCTTCGCTTGGCCGAAAGTGGTGAACTGCCGATTTTGGTTTTATTTCCGAAATTTTTTGCTTTCACTCAATAAAATTAAAAAAAAATAAATGTACAAATTATGGCGTTTGACTTCGTTGCAGTTTCTTTAGCTTTTTTAGCTACATTTTTCAATGTAAATGTCAAAAATCCACAAAAGGAGTTCCTTCTGAGTACTTTACCCTCTGGAAGAATATTGTCTATATAGGACTACGATATCAAATATCCCCCACATAACGGTACCTCCCAATATACGGTATTTTGGTGATTTTAGCTACATTTTCAATGGAATTTTCTAAAAATCCATACTAGAAGTTTTTTCGAAGCACTTTACTCCCTGGAAAAGTACTATCTATTTAGGCCGTCATCTTCGTATAGCCTCCAATATTCGGTATTTTAATGATTTTGGCGACATTATTCAACGGAGTTGTTTCAAATTTCGTATTTAGAATTCGTAATGGGAACTACAATCTAAATTAAAAAAAATTAAATTTGTTTCAAAATGTTTGTTTCAAAGTTCGGCCCAGCCTTTTTTACTTGTTCCATTTGAATTTTATAATATTTACTATATTTTTTTTAATCATCTATTTATTTTTTTACACGCAATGTCTTTCGTTTTATTTGTTGTATTGAAATTTTAGCGAAATTCTGGAATCTTTCGAGACAAAATACGAAAACTGATATCCTTGTGTACACATGTATCGGTGATAGGGTTATTTATATTTACTACCTAAGCCCAATTGCATTCCCTTGAGCTATGCTATGCTTAAGATGGTGCGCCCCTATCGTCAGTCCGGTAACACTCTTTGTGAATTCAATTCACAAGAAGTTGTGTCGCCATGCATCCGCGTAACCATAGTTCAGATCGTTTTAAACAGTCGTCGAGTGAACATCGATCAGTGCTTACCAGCTTGCAACCACAAAATGAACACAAATTTCGCCCGAATGTGGATGGCCAACAATATGGAAAGGAAAATGGAATCTCTGTTGCATAGGAAAAGTATACTTGAAAAATCGCTAGCAAACATTGAAGATTCTTCACAATTGTCGTATGAAGTAGTTCTTTTGGCCAATATTTACACTGACATTGGACAACTCTACATGGTTCGTGAAGATTTCAACAAAGCCGAGACTTTCTTTCAGAAATGCCTCAAACTTGTTACACATCGCGATATGAAAAAAGAAGCTGTTTTACCATATACCAAAACACTGCTGGATCTCGCTGTTATAGCTATTAAACAATCGGATAATAAGAAGGCCCTCTCCTTTCTAACGGATGCTGAAAATGCCTACATGGATTTCAAGAGGAGTCAAGTGGATGACAAAGAAGTTGACAAACTAGATGCCATGATAATTGAAGCATTCTATAGTAAAATTACCACGAGGTTTGCCCAAGTATATGATAATTTGAAAATATTTGATATGTCGGCCAAATATAATTATTCAACATTAAAGCGCGCTATTGAAAACGAATCGTATGACAATGGCGATATGGCAGAACAATCGGCCGATCTGGCCAATTATTATATCAAACTAAATAAATTTAAGGAAGCCAGACGATATATGGCAGCTTCCAACTATTTTGTCGATCAACAACAAAACAATTGGGAAGCAAATGTATTTGGAACTGTCAAAACGGCGGTTGGCCATTTGAGCCGTCATTGGGCGAAATATGGTATTGCCTTGCTGTTGGCATCGAAGAAACGTTTACAGAATGATGAGGATAATTTAACGGCAGGTATGTGTAAATTAAAAAAACTTTTTGAATTTCAGTATATTGTTGTGGTATTAGTTGAATATATGACGGTGAGAACTGTCAAAGAGACTTATGTGGAATTGTATCTCCGACAAAATTTAGTAAAAACGATTTTGTATTGAATATACCTCCCATACAGGGTGATATAAAAAAACTGGAACAAAGTCAAACGCCATAATTTTTACATTTTTTTTTAAATTTTATTGAATGAAAGCAAAAAATATCGAAAATAGCATCAAATTTTAGAATAAGTTTAGATTGGATCGAATTGCTCTCCTTTGGCACGAATTATGGCCTTAAAACGGCAAATGAAACCATCACACGCTGCCCGAATGTTGCTCCGCGGTATTTTGGCCCATTCCCGGCGAAGCTCTTGCTTGCGGTGATCGACACTTTGGTATTTTTTAGTGCCAACCTTGCTTTCAAAAATACTCCAGACACAATAGTCCAACGGATTGCTATCCGGAAATTTTGCTGGCCATTGTGCCCTGGAAATGAAGCGAGGAACCTCATTTTGTAACCATTCTTGGGTGGCGCGTGCTGAGTGCGACGGTGCTAAGTCCTGTTGGAATGTCCAAGGTCTGCGGCCAAAATGTTTGCGTGCCCAAGGCTTTAATACATCCTCCAGAATATTTTCGCGATAATATTCGGCATTTATTCTGATGTCACGGTCGATTAATACAAGCGGAGAGCGACCATCGGCTGTTATGGCGGTCCACGCCATCACCATGGCCGACGCTTGAGTTCTGGTAGCCAAACGAAGGTGTACATTTTTAGCTGACCTCTTTGGCAAGTAAACACGATCATTTTGTTTGTTTACAAACTACTGAACAACGAATGTTTTCTCATCGGAGATAACCAAATTGGGCAGTTCACAACTTTCGGCCAAGCGAAGCAAGTCATTAGCTCTTTTAAGTCTATCTTCTTTCTGTTGCGGTGCAAGTTCCTGCACTTTTTGGAATTTCAATGGCTTTACCCCGAGCTAATTTTTCAGTATTTGCCGAATGGAATAATTTGATATGTTCAGCTCACGAGCCATTTTTCGGCCACTTTGAAGCGGGTTTCGATCAAGTCGCTTCTTTACTTTTTCGAACCATATCGCTCGTCACGGTAACGAGCGATGGTACGAGTACAAAAGATTTATTCACATTTAAATGCAGAAGTGCTCTAACGATAGCCATTTGTGGTTTTGCAGCCAAATATAAAGAAATGACACTATTACGCTTGAATTCCATCACGAATAACATTTTTTTTCTGGAAAATTCTCACCAAAAAAATGGAAAATAGTTAATCTAGATTCCCGTTTTCATATACTCCCCTTCCCCAGGCACATTTGCGTTTTATAACATGTCTTTTTTTTTTCTGTATCACTATGCATCTGTATTTGTGAATATATTATAAACAAATTTATTATGATTATATTGAATATATTATTATTATTAATATTATTATTATTATTACTATTATTATTATTATTATTATTATTATTATTATTATTATTATTATTATTATTATTATTATTATTATTATTATTATTATTACTATTATTATTATTATAATTATTATTATTATTAATATTATTACTAATAATATATACCATATAATTTGCAGTTATCAAATACCGTTTGCATTTAAAAAAAAATAAAGAATATCTTCATGCGGTTTCCCTATTTTCTGCTTTTCAGATATGGACAAGATGGAGCTGGACAACCAAATGCCACTCTTGTTCGACAAATTACCATTAGCCAATTATGAAAATCAAATATCAATTGGTTATCGTACCACATTCAAGGAGGCGAAAAGAGTATTCTTGTTCGCCAAGAAATGGCTGGAGAAGGCCAAAGAAATTTACACACCGGATGGCGATATACTTCTTTATGCCGATGTAATGAAGGATTCCGCCAGACTTTACGATTACATGTCGTTTTTCGAAACCGATTGGCGAAACCAATTCAAAATGCAAAAAATGCGTATCAAATACTGTGAAGAACTTCTAGATAACCTTGATCCGCAAACACGCATGCCAATATGCCGTGAATGTTGGAATGAAGCGGCACTGGGTTACAGCGCTCAACTGCTACTCAAATGGCGATTCATTGTCGAAGAAATCAACACTTCTCCAAAGATTCGCAATGAGGTACAGCAATTGACGGAAAGTGCCATTGAAAAGTTCAAAAACTTAATTACCTCGTTTGGAGGTAATTTGAGCCAGGTGATACCCAAATTGACATTCGACGAAAAGAAAATGTGCATGGATGCCCACTATAAACTGGCCATACTATATGGTCGAGGTATAGATACCGGCAAACCTGAACCAATTAATAAGTGTATATTTTATTTTAAGACATTTGTCGAAGAATGCAGCAAGGATGAGAGATTGAGAATTGAATTAAAATCAGATATTGAAATTTCACGAGAACAGATAGTAAAGATTAAGGCTGCGTTTGGACACATGAGGAAGATTAAAAGCTAATTATGTGCAATCAGATGCTCTGTTCAAGAACCTACTACATTTCCAATTTTTACCATTTTTGCCTTATAAATTTGAAAAGTTCTGCAATTTTTTTTTGTCGTACGGGAACACACCTATTATGAACTATTATGAATTCTTGAATGCCGTTTGTATGTTTGTGCAATATGAATAAAGAATGTTTTAAATAAATTTCCACCAACTATATTTGTTTTATTAGAAACCGCATAGAAATAATATGCTCTCAAATTTTTATTGAATGATTCTATCATTAGGGGCAGACCTTAGGATCATAGCCAGTGCCGACGGTGTACCTAACTTTACTAGTGGCAAATTTGCATCTGGTTATTCTGAACTGAAGCCAAAATATTCTTACCACGATTTAAAATAATTTTTGCGACTAATGAATACATGGACAATGAAACGCTCCCGCCGCCAGCGTACGAAAATAAACTTTACCAAATGTTTGCAATCGTTTTGTTCTGTATTTTCTTGAAGAACGAAACGAAACACAACCGATATTAAGATAACGGGACTTCTTTTGTATTTTGTTCTGTTTATGTAGATGAGTGGAAACAAAAAAAAAAACTGAAATGTACTCCGCTGGATGACGCAACATTGCAAACGAAACAGTACAAAACTAATTGCAAACGATTGCAAACGTTTCCCTGTATATTAACTCATTACAAAAAAGTAAAAACCAATATTTATTTAAATTCATGTTTTTTTATTTATTTATTACGTCCATAATACAATGGCAACTGTGTAAAAAACAATATTTACAATGACGGCTCTAAATATAGCAGTCCTCATTTCGCTCAGCAATCGTTTGCAAACGTTTGCAAAGGTTTCCCGGCGATTCGTTCGCAAACGATGCAGCTCGGCAAAACACAGCCGAAGTACATGAAGGCAATCGTATTGTTTGTATACTTCTGACATTGAAATGTTTGCGGTATTGTTTTGTTTGAAGTACAAAACGATTGAAAATAGTTTTAAAGTTTGTGACTTCGTGGGAGCAGTACGTTATTCGTTTCGTTTGTTTTCGTTCGCTGCCCGCCGCTAATCTTCGAAAAAGTTCGAAGCATTTGTTTCAGGAGAAGTCATTCTAACCCAACATTTTAAAATTATCAACAATTTTAGGGTATTTGCCACTTTAACTCAGCTCCATAATGAAATGTGGGTGTACAATACATCATGACATCGAAAAAGACGCCACTATTCCAGAGCAATTCCTGAAAATGATTAAATGTGTTTTCGAAGCCAAGTAGGTCGACTTAATCGGCATGTTGACTATGCAAAAGCGTGCTGAGAGCTATCTGGATAAAAAAACAAAACCAACATTCCGTTTTTATACCCTCCACCATAGTATGGAGAGTATGACTTCCACTTGTAACACCTCTAAATATACATTTTAGACCCCACAAAGTATATATAAATTATTGATCAGCATAAAATTCTATGGCGATTTAACGATGTCCGTCCGTCTGTCTGCCTGTAAGTTAATAAAATTTTACTCAGATGTGAAAATGGGCTATATTGTCCACGTTTTGGTAAAGCACCCATATGATTTTGATGATTTTAACGGAATTGTTTCAAATTTCGTATTTGAAGTTCCTAATGGGAACTACAGCCTGTGACAGAAAATTGTTTATGCAGGTCCAGGTCTTCGTATAGCCCCCTTATATCGGTATCTCACTATATTCGGTATTTCGATGGTTTTAGTAAAATTATTCATCGAAATTGTTTCAAATTTCGTATTTGCAGTTCGTAACGGGTACTATAGACTGTAACGGAAAATTGTCTATGCAGGTCCAGGCGTTCGTATAGCCCCCTTATATCGGTATCTTCCAATATTCGGTATTTCGATGATTTTAGCGACATTAGTCACCGGAATTATTTCAAATTTCGTATTTGAAGTTCGAAATGGGTACTACAGCCAGTGACAGAAAACTACGTATGCAGGTCCACATTCTCGTATAGCCCCTATATAACGGTACTTCACTATATTCTTTATTTTGATGATTTAAGCGACATTATTCACCGGAACTGTTTTAAATTTCGTATTTGCAGTTCGTAATGGGTACTACAGTCTGTAACAGAAAATTATCTATGCAGGTCCACGTCTTCGTATACACCCCATATATCGGTACCTCCCTATTTTCGGTATTTTGATGATTTTAGCTACCTTATTCACCAGATTTTTTTCAAGTTTCGTATTTGAACATCGTAATGGCCTATGACAAAAACTGCCCATGCAGGTCCACGTCTTCGTATAGACCCTAATATAACGACAAATCACTATATTTGGTACTTTTAAGATTTTAACGGATTTCATTTTTTTGAAAATTTCCAAATTCGTTCCAAATGGTGGAGGGTATTCAAAGTTCGGCCCGACCGGACTTACTGCTTTTTTACTTGTCTATATATTCATTAGTCTATGCTTTAGCCGTATTTTAACGATGGGGCAAAGATTTAAAGTAGTTCGAGGAATGGTGACGTTTTATTTCTAAATTTGAAAAAGGTATTCTAGAAAAGATACTCACTGACGTTAACTGTGGATATTCATTTAAAAAGAAAGGAAAAGAAAAATAGAACTTTGTTTGGCTAGAAAAATCTGAACTTACAAGCTCTGTGATATTCACACCAATCGTAGTCTTTCCAGATACGAACCTTTCCTATCCGTCATCAGTATGGGCATAATTGACTTACCGCTTCCTAATGTATCAGTACATTCTTCAATGTTACCAAGCTTAGTAGCATGGGGATATGTAATAGCCACCTTCTCTTGCTGTAAACTAAAGTATTTGAGATTAAACTATAACTTCAAAGATTTTTTAAATATTAAATTTCAAAATCATTGCTGTATTGCTATAATCATTGTTACAAAATTCAAAATTCACCATTCTTAAGATCACTGCAAACGGTCTTTGGATTTCACCGAAACACTTTGAACCGAACCAATGGAGCAGCGTACACTAAGGGCATAATGTGGACGATGTTTGGTACATTCCTTTTGGACTCGCACTGCCAAAGTTCGAATGGGAATTGCTGTTATGGCATCCAAAAAATTCGCCTTCGCATAGTCGACAACTTTCTCCACCAGACCTTCAATATTTATACATCGAGCATCAAAGAATGCCTCTTTCTCCAAATTGTCAGCAATGAAGCGCACCGTATCGTCGCTTTGAAACTCTTCGAGAGGTAAAATTTCAATGAGCTCCTTGAACATATGCACCAACACGAATTGTGTTTTATTCATTACAGCCGTTGAGCTGGTGCCAGCCTGATTCAGAGCCTCTCGAGCATTATCAAATATTCCAGACACCACATCTTCGGTATTAACATCGGAACGTTCGTAATCGAACACGGCCAGTATTTCATTGAACATTTTCTCCAAATGGTCTCGTGTTAAGACCACTAAATATTTTTTCGGTATGATATCTTGTAGATTTTCAATAATGCAATTCAAAATCTCCTCCGTTAGGGAACCTTCAAAATTATATGCAGCCTGACCCAAGTATCGGGTGACCTTACATGCATAACGTCGAATATTTTCACGTGATGTCATTTTCCCAAAATGTTGCAGGAATAGCTTTTGGACGACTTTTTGGCAGCGATCCATTATAAAATCATCTGGCACCAAGCGATGTGCATGGTAGGCATCGCTTTGTAAAATATCTGGACAAGTACGAGGTTCATCGGTCGGTATCATTTCCTGGTGGGCCGATATGCCATGTTCATCTAATTCGCCATCTATTTGCAGGGGTTTGGCCTTCATGCGCAATGTACATATTTCACGTTCCAAAAACTAAAAGACAATTTTTTTGGTCAATGTTATGTCGGTAGATCTTTAAATATTTATTAGAATATTACTTACTTTAATTTGTTCTTTTTGTTCCCGCTCAATGGCTGAGAGTTTCTCAATGTCTTTGTCCACACTTAAACTTGGCGGCTTCGACCATTTCTGATAGTTTTTCTCCTGACATAAAAGTAAGCGCTCTAGATAGGTTTTCTCTTCAGTCAAAATGGCCAGAATGTTCAATTTATCACAATGCATTTGGGTCTCCTTGATAAGTTCTTCCTGAGCCATGGCCAGCTCCTTCTGCGGTGACAAGCAAAAGTAGAGGAAAAGAATTAAATATTGTAAACAAGTTTTTATGTAAGTAAATCTCTATTGTGATTTCGAGACTTGGAAGTCAATTCTGAAAATCCTAATGACATCTTCAAAGTCTATTTCGAACTCTGAATCTGAAGGTGAGGTAAGGTAAGGTGTCCCTTGAAATTATAATTTTCGAAAATAGAAAAATTGTGCTGAATTGACCTCGAGTTGTGTCAATTTGTTCGGTTTTTATACCCTACACCACATGATGGTAAGGGTATTATGTCTTTGTGTATATGTTTGTAACATGGAGAAGGATGCGATGTAGATCCATCGTTACTTTTGATGATCTTCATAGAATCACTTTTGGAGTCGATTTATGCATGTCGGACCGTCCGTCCGTCCATGTATTCTTGTGAAAAAATGCAGGTCGCATTTATCATCCGATGGAAATGAAATTTTCCAAACAATATTTGTTTGGCCCAAGGACAAATCCTATTAAAATTGGTGAGTACCGGCTTAAATTTTACTACCATATATATCTTCAACCGATTTCGAGTTAATTGTGCCAATATCAGTCGAAATGACCTGAATTTTGGCACATCCATTGAATTCAGTCTGTAAGCAAATAACATCAAATTTGGAGAAAATCGGTTCAGATACAACTATAGCTACCATATGTATGTTTCCTCCGATTTTGGGTTTTAAGTCCCGCACATTCGTAATATGCACTCACAACAATGATCTTTGGTACCAGATATCAGATATAGCTCAGAAATAAGTCTCTAAAATTTTGTCAAGATCGGTTCAGATTTGGATATAGCTTCCATATATATCTTTATACGATTTCAGATTTATTGTGCACCAAATGGCTTCTATAAGCGCAAATGGACTTTGGTACTTCCGACGGGATTCATTCTAGAAGAAAGTACTTAAAATTTATTGAAATCGGTTCAGATATAGCTATAGCTCCCATATATATGTTTCATCCGATTTGCAGTTAAAGTCCCTGACATGCATAATATGCACTCCACAACAAGGATATTTGACACCGGACATCAGATACTGCTCGAAAAAACCTCTGCCAAATTTTATCGAGATCAGCTCAGATTTTAGGGTTATTGTCCACCAAATATGTAATAACTACCCAAATTGAGTAGATTTTTTCATATTCAACTGAATTTTTCCATTTGCTGAAACTCGGTCCGGTATATCTATTGCTCTAATAAATAGTTATACCCTACAACACTATGTGTTGGGGGTATTATAAGTTTGATTAGGCCAAAAATTATGTAACACCTCGAAATATTGGTTTCCCACATAGGAAAGTATATATGGATCTTCCTATCTCGCCGAGCTGAGTCGATCTAGCTATGTAAGTAGAATAAGGATGTATGGTTTAAAATACAAAGGATTAGCCAAAAGTCATTAAAATGGTCAAAAACTCATTAAAGTATCAAATTACAGTAAACAAATCGTCTGTCCGTCCGTGTATGTGTGAACACGTGCGCTTTTGTTTACACCCTGCAGAAAACGGTGGAGGTATTGATGAACTGCGAGTGGTGCTACACTGATGAAAAAGTCAGCAGTATCAATGGTTGTAGGCGGCGAGTACTGCTTGACTACTCGCAAGTGCTGCACTGTTTTTTTTTTATAATCGCATATATTGGTAACACTGTCAGCATCTGATTATGCTTATTTGTGATTTGTGTTTTGTGCATTGTGTGAACTTGCAAGTAAAATATTTGTTTTTTTTTTTAAGTGAAAAAGAAAGTGTATGTAAAAAATGAATAAGCGTACCTGAGAGACTGAGACTTAAGTTTTCCTTTTTAACATAAATGCCAACGAAGTACAAATTTTTTTTATTAATATTATTTAGTTTTTTAATACTTTACTATTAAAACCAAATAAGTGCCTTTTTTTGAAATTATATATTTTACTTAATTTCTATTTTGTAATTTAATATTGTTTTGAAATAAAAATAGCTGAATGAAAACAAAATCTGTCTTTCGTTCTTTTAATTATTCGCAATGGCAATGCGAATAATTACGTTCGTGCAGTATGTTCAGTTACTTTCTTTCAATGGCGACTGATGCAAAATTCAGCAGTCGCTCACCCCTCACAGAGCGCTGCAAAAGCGAGTACTGACTTTCACACGACAGTCCAGTGTAAAAGTCAGCAGCTCTTACCGTTAACGGGGAAATGAAGAGCGAGTGGTCGGTATCGCTTGGCGAGTACTCGAGCAGCACTGCGGTACTACTCTTTTTTTCTGAAGGGCAAATAGTGTGTGTGTGTGTGATCCTCCGTTCTGAGTATGGCAAAGTATGTGTTTGTGTGTGTGTGTGTCTCCGTTCGCAAACTGTGTTAATCGACGTGTGTGGGCGCGCTCTTGACCTTGAGTATGGCAATGTGTGTGCGTGTGTGTGTGTCCGTTCGGTTTAAGAATATTAGGGATGGCAAACTATGTGGGCATGCGCGGAGCTTACCGAAATGTTTACAAGGGGAAGGGGGAACAGATATGTGGAACAAAATATAGGGAATAACAACAACAACAGCATGGTTAGCGATAGAAATGGTCAGCGGCATGAAGAGACAGACGCAGTTATGTTTATTTCTGATCATATCAATACCAATGTGTTTATGTTAAATCGAGCACTGTTGAGTGTTGGGCATGCGCGGAGCTTACCGAAATGTTTACAAGGGGAAGGGGGGTAAATATGGGAAACGAACTATAAACAGTATAATGAATTTCGCAATCTTATGCAACTATGATTAGGAGTGAAAATGGAAGAGGCAGGAACAAATATGTGTTTACGAAATGTGTGGATCCAATTGGAAACTGGGGGAGAGGAATATGTACGCCCTAGCTTTGAGTTTGATGTTTATATCTGATTATATTAATACCAATGTGTTTGTGTTAAATCGAGCATCGTTGAGTGTTGGGCATGCGCAGAGCTTACCGAAATGTTTACAACGGGAAGGGGGACAAATATGGGAAACAAACTATAGGGACTATTGAGAATATCAACAAACAACAACAACATACATGCATCAATTGTATCGGTAAAAATGGTCAGCGGTATTAGGAGACAGACGCATGTTTTTGTATGATTTTAAAGACTGATGGGCGTCAAAAATAAAGAGGCGAACACTTGTTGATAAGAACCATTGGACAGAAATATGATAAACAGCATAATGAATTTCGCAATCTTATGCAACTATGATTAGGAGTAAAAAGGGGAAAGACAGGAACAAATATGTGTTTACGAAATGTTTGGATACAAGAGGAAAAGACGGAGGGGGGCATTTTCTTGCATTCTGGGATACTTTTAATAAACGAACGTAATAATACATGATATTGTCAATACGAGGTATAATTATAATATAAAAGGAATCTATATTCCACTTTCAGTTGAGTAAAAAGTGATTTTTTACAGTGTATAAGTGATTTTCAATACTTTCTGCAAAACCAAAAAGAGACTCAGAGTGAAAAGTGAACGAAAGTTATAAAGTTATAAAAATAGACTAAAAGTGAGAAAAACATTGAAACGTATTTACAATGGAAAGCTTCCAATGCAATTTCTGTTCAAAAGCGTTGAGTTCTAAAGCTGCACTTAAAAAGCATTTGATGTTACATAAAGTTTGTGAAATATGTAAGAAAATGTTGGCAAACAAGTGGGCTTTAAAATTACATTATGAAGTGTATCACCCAAATTTTTATCAACTGCAAAATGAAGCTTTGAATCAACAACCTTCAGGAACATGGCAGAGACACCAACAGATACAACATTCAAACCATCAACAAAATAAAATTGAAGGGATGAAACAAAGAACGACTTCTGGTGTAAATAGCGATATGATGCTAATGTGATACTGAAATATATAATTCTTTATTTTGTGGAATTATATTAGTTTTCTTACTATAGATGTATTTAATTAGTTCTTTTATAAAAAGATGGCAATCGTATCCAGAAAAATTGTGGAATAAAATTGGAATGAATGTTGGAACTGTATAATTTATATTGCACTCTTTGTGTGCAGCTCCCCTATACCGACCCGTTATATGACAATGATCACGAACCTTATCACTACCCAATTCTTTGTCGACAAATTTTTGCATTTTCAAATTCTAAAATTTGAGATGGCGTTATCTGTTCCCCCTTCCCCTTGTAAACATTTCGGTAAGCTCCGCGCATGCCCACATAGTTTGCCATCTCTAATATTCTTAAACCGAACGCACACACATTGCCATACTCAAGGTCAAGAGCGCGCCCACACACGTTGATCAACACAGTTTGCGAACGGAGACACACACACACACAAACACATACTTTACCATACTCAGAACGGAGGATCACACACACACACGCGCATACATAAATTGCCATACTCAGAACGGAGGATCACACACACACACACACACTATTTGTAAACAAAAGCGCACGTGTTCACACATACACGGACGGACAGACGATTTGTTTACTGTAATTTGATACTTTAATGAGTTTTTGACCATTTTAATGACTTTTGGCTAATCCTTTGTATTTTAAATCATACATCCTTATTCTACTTATGTATGTCTGTCCGTCCGTCCGTCCGTCTGTCCATCTTAATTTGTAATCATTCTACAGGTCGCAATTATGGCCCGATCTTCACGAAATTTAGAATGGAGGTGGGGCTAGAATAGAAGCCTATTGCTTTTGGAGATGTTCGCAGTATGGACCAATCGAAGCGGAGTTAGCACGGGACTAGAGCTATGGGCTGGGCAGAAGCCTTCCAATTTTGATGGTCATCGGGTAATATTTAGTGGGTGTTAAGTAAAAGTCAAATTTTCCATTAAACCGCGAATATTTTTAATTCCGACGAAATCACAAATAGACGAACAGGTCAATTCTGACCGTTACGAAGATGCCGATAATAAATATATCGGATATATATAGCGAAATATATACAATTTGTATATAGAAAGGAAGGGGGTGTTAGCTAGAATGCTTATATTTCCAGAATGGCTGGACCGATTTTGTCAATTCAGAATGCCCTCTTGGCATAAAAGTATAAAATAAATAAAAATAAAAAAATCGTTTTAAAAGATGCCAATAATGATGTTAATAAGATTTTGTAGTATTTTGTAACATTTTTTTATTTTTTCATATTTTTATGGCTTGCGATTTTTTCAATTTGACTTATAATATTGAAATGTATATTTTGTAATATTTTTTTCACCTTACAACACAGGTTGGGGTTATTGTATACAGATTGCATTTGTCGTCCGATCCTCACGAAAACTTTCACAAGGGTAGTGTTAGGCTCAGTAGGGCTAGGCTTATTGTGTTCAAAGATGTTCGCAATTTGTTTAGGGGTTGAAATGGACCAACAACTTATAAAGGTCACAAATAGAAACCAAAGGACACGAAATCTCGCATGAAGTTAGAGTTTATGACAGCTGATAGAATGGAGCACTACTTTTGTGTGAAAAATACCAGCTTACTTGTAGGCGATATCCGTAATACTCAAAAGGCGAACTTCTGGTTTTTTATGCTGATTTCGCTGACGAATATAGTCAAATATCGTAGACAAGCAAATCAAATAGATGAGTCTAAATTTGGAGATACAGAGGGGCCTCTTGCTTTTGGAGAGGATCGCAAAATAATTAGCACGACGGAGTGCGTAAATATTGGGCAAATGTCCCTGGTCAAAATGCTAAGGGTAACATCTGGGCATTGCTACCTGACATAATTTCAAAAGCGAAATCATTCAAAATGGATTTGGACATAAGGGGACTTCTAACATATTGTAGTGTAGTAGGATATCGCATGGTCGGCCCCGCACTACTATAGCCTTTGTTTACTTGTTTTTTCTTATCGAAGTCGTATCATGCACTATACAGCAATGTCATTTGGTACTAGAGGTACTAAAGCCTACGTCAAATTTGTTGAAAATCGATTCAGAGTTGGATATATTTCCCAAATTGTGACTACTCTAAAGCCACGGTACACATTCAAATAAGGTTCGAAGTTGGCATGATCTACTTTACATAAATTCCCAAGATATTTTTTTTGTTAGGGGGGGTTTCGCTAAATGCGCATAGTGGTGTAGGGTGTCATATAGTCGACATTACAGACCAATATAATTTTGAACACATATTTAAAACTAATGCCGCTTAAACTCAAAAGAAGATATGAACTATTCCATTAGTTAGCCATCATATTTTTAACGTAATATTAAATTTTTCCTAAAAAAAAAATTCAAAAGGCATTTTCTGATATTCTTTAAATATATGCGCGAAGTGTATGTATGTCACTTGATCTCTTTATGAGAGACTGCCAATAAATTGCTTTAAAATGTTTATTTTCACTCCATGAGATAAGGGAGAAATGTCAATGATAAGCATGCATGAATTTGACTATGAAAAAAATGTTTGTATATATCTACACACACACACATCTTCATGTAATGTCATTGATCCGTTGAGTTTACGATTCAACACTTGATTGAAGTGTTCCTTAAGACTTCGAAAAATTTTGTTTACAATACACAATTAGTATTGGGTTTCAATTTTTTGTTGTACGACTTATTTCGTAGGAAGGAGGGGTGGATGTGTCAGAGGAAACATGTGATGCAATGTCGCATTATATTATGTTTAGAATAATTTGAGTCTGGATTGAAAGTCTTATCTCGAAAAAACAATATATTTTACAAAAAAAAGTAATTTAAAAAAATATGCCTATCTATATCGTCTACAGATTTCATATTGCCAGTGTCTTATGATTAATTAATTTTTTGGACTAGAAAAATTTGAAATTTGACTTCAGGTTTTAAAACAGATAAATTCAAAATTATTTTGTGATTGTATGTGTTTTGAAAACACTTCAATTTTTTTTCGTAGAAAATAATATTTTGACAATTTAATTTCTAAATTGAATTTAACTATCATAAATAAGGTGTACTCGGTTTATAAAAGTTATGGACCCCATAAAGTATGTTAAAGAGTACAAATCTGTCGATTAAATTATGTCCGTGAGACTCTCCGTTCTCCATTTGCAATTACGATAGAGGTCACCAAATTTAATATGCGTCTTTCAGACTTAGCACATATTATTCTTAGGATTATTGATGTTACAAAAGGTATATATTTGTTCTCATTTAGATATAGCCCTCATATCATATTATCTCCTAATATTCGTCGACTAAATGTGCTCTAATGTGGCATTTTATGATTTCAGTACAAATACATCAAATTGGCAGGTTATATGAGAAATCAGTATTAAAGGACTAGACTTAAGAGTCCTTTAATACTGATTTCTCATATAACCTGCCGATTTGATGTATTTTGAAGACCTCAAAAGCATTTTCGAGATTCAAATCATTTGTTAAAAAAAATACGAAAAAGTCTACTATATGATTTATTTCCTATTCATCAGTACCCCTTTATATTCGTTATATCATTGAATTTAATAAAATTTTCAAACCTCAATTGTCAGTATTATAAAGGTCTTGGCAATATTTTTCAAATCAAAAGTAATTTTGAATTCGTAACTTTTAGAAGACCGTGTTGGTGCAAAATCCCATGTCAATTAATCTATATCCGTCTGTGAATGTGGCCGTTCGTTAAATTATTTCGAAGGCAAAATATTTAGGTTAATATTTGAACATTTATACAATATTCCTAGGAAGTTACAATATATACGTTTCGTTTAGGTATAATAATACCGCTAAACATTCGTCCTTTTTTTATGTTTTTGTAAAAATTTCTACAGAATTAACTGTAATTTGACATTTAAAATTTTCGGTATTGTGAAATCCATACCGGCAATAACTGTTTACTATTTAATTTACTATTGTTCCCCAATATGCATAGCTCCAATTTAAAAGTACGATGAGATTTTAAATATTTTGATGCTTTGAGAAGTATTTTTAATCAAAATTGTATAGAATATATGCAAAATTTCTCGATTTTTTTTTTAAAATAAGAATTTTTAATTCCAAAAGCCATTCTGAAACAATTCTATACGAAATCCCTATCAAAATAGAAAATTCAAGTTTTTCACTTCCGCGATTTTTCTAGAGGCTATCTCAAAAATGTTCATTTATGAAATCGTTTCAACTATAATTACAAATAACCAAAAGTCAAATCGGCCAAACAGTTCTCAACTGATGTGTTACTATATTTTTTTTAATTGTATACATATAAATTTAAAGAAGCATGTGTGGCCAGTTCCTCTGACCCCAAACAAATAACTAGGGTTGGAGGGAGACACAAGAGTACGTCATATACTAACTATGGAACAAATATTTTCATTATTTGGGCAAATATTAGGATTTTAGGTAAGTCAAAAAATGGGCGCAAAAGTAGGCGTGGACCGATATATCTCTTTGCATAAAAACCAAGCTCGGGGTAGGACGTACAATATCCAAATTCGTCCAGCCGTTCTTAGCTGATTCGATTACCAACGAATAACAATTGAGTTTTATATATATAGATTAAAAAGTAGTCGTGTTCAGTTCCTCTGGAAGGAGGGTACATTAACTTTGTCATTCCGTTTGTAACAACCCTAAATATTCGTCGTAGACCCCGCAAAGTATGTATATTCACGATCAGCACAAAATTTTGAGCTTTAAAATTTGGCACAACAATTTGTATTGTGTCTAGAATGTTTGATATTGAAAATATATCGGTCCACGTTTTTGTATAGCCCCCATATAACAGTACCAACCGATATTCGGTATTTTGATGATTTTCGCCATATTTTTTCCACGGATTTCTCTAAAAATTGGTATTTGTATCTCATAATGAGTTTTAGCTCCGGTGGCGAAACATTGTATGTATAGGTCCACTTTTTTGTATAGCCCCCATATAACGATACCTCCCGATAGTCGGTGTTTTGATGATTTTTACCACATTTTCTACGGATTTGTCTAAAATTTGGTATTTGTAGTTCATAATGGGTTTTAGCTCCGGCGGCAGAAAATTGAAAATTTAGATGCAGGTTTTCCTATAGCGCACATATAACGATACTCGGTATTTTGATAATACTATTTACATTTACCCACGAATTTTTTTCAAATTTAGAATTTAATGTATGAAGGTACCCGGAATGGTATGGCCTCATATAACGGCCCACTCGCTTTTGGTTTTTTGGATAAGTTTAACTGCATTATCAGAATGGTCTTACTGGTATGTGTAGTTCAAAGTGGAAACAATGGTGGGGGGTATTAAAAGTTCGGCCTGGTCTAATTTAATGTTTCTTTACTTGTTTTTTTTTTATTTTTTTGAAAAACTTTTCTATAGCACTTAAACACCCTTTATATGTATTCTTGTTTCTGTCAAAGACCCTTAGGATGAAAAAACATAAAACGCTTTTTTGAACGTCTTTAGTCATCGTCTGGCTTTTTCGTAGAGGAAGGAGTTTGTTCTTTTCCGAAGAAGCCAGCCGAAGTAAGTCATCGCCAGTCAGAAAAGCGTTTTATGTTTTCTTACCTTTATTATTTGTCTGCATTTACAACGTTTGTATTAAAGATCGGAAAAATACATATATCATATATGTCAGCTTCTGACCGTTCTCGACAAACAGTAAAAATTTTGTACCAGTAATGGTTATTTCGACTCAATCTATATAATACCTATCAATGGTGGAATGCATTATTTTTATATGTATAAAGAGCTCCAGGGATCACACATTTAAAATATGGTCCCGCCGAACATTTTTCACTCACCCTTTTCTTTTTCATTTCGATTTCAAGCAAATGCAGTTCATCCTCCGCCGTTGTCTCCAATTCAAATACGTATTTTCTCAACACCTCTTCTTCCAGTTCATCCAAATCGATTACCATGCCGAACTTTTTCATCATTTCCTGACGTATTAATTCCTCGAGCCGTGTTATTTCGGTTCGCATGAATTTCAAATCTGTATTCATGCGACGCAAATGGACAATATTGATGCGATGTAAACGTTTGGTTTCCAACGTCTCCACTTTTAGCTGATCGACACGACCCTGCAAATCCAAGAGCAGCGTTGAATCGAATAGAACAGCCTTGCTTAGGTCGTGATAGTCTTCACCCTCCCGAAAATGCTGCAATTGATGCATGTGAAGTATGACAGCTACATGGACTTTATTCAATTCCTGTTGACGTTTACGCTGAATAGAAAAGAAGTGGAATAGAATCTCGCTGAAAATGTTGGATTCTGCAGTGGAACTCACTCTGAACTCCAGCAATTTTTCATTTTCCAATGTGTACACATTCTCATGGTATTTCATTTTCTTTTGGGCCTCCTTAACTTCGTCTTTCTTCACTTCGATTAGTTTAAGAGCTTCGCTTTGAGATCGCTCCATTTCATGACGATCAGCTCGCATTTTGAAGGCCATTTCGTACATGTTTCTCTCTAATCCAGCTGGACAATGGGATTCATCCAATCGAATGGCTGTCATATCGGTTGAATCGATACTCTTGGTGTCATCTTCTTCTTCACTAGAGGACTCACTATCCGATGAAGATTCCGATGATTCTGTGGAGAAAAAAAAACATGAATATGAATGAGTTTTGATAAAAGAATAGCGTTTATTTGTTAATCGTAACTATATTTTTCTTAATCAGATATCTAGGCTCATATTAATGAGGGTCTCGACGTTTTCAAATATAAAAGACCTGGTTTCTTAATATTCCTGTATGTTAATATGCTCTTCTGTCCATGGGAGGTGATTGCAACTAGCCCTCAAACAAAATAAGAGATAAAAGATATTTTTATTTTAAAATTCCAGATTTTCATTACCGATATCTAAAATATTTATCGATTAGGTCAAAATATTACTTTTGGAAAAATGGTCATTTTGTTGTCAATTTGGTAAGAAAGCGCTGTTAATTTCAGAGCCGTATAATAAACATTCTTTTATTTTCTTAACATTTTATCAAGTTTTTTTTGCTGGGCCGGCACATATCAACATTTGGCATTAGAGCAGTTATAGTTTGGTTTCAGAGGGAACTAGAAGGATTATATTAAAATATATATATACCCGAGCCGAGTTCCACCAAATGAAAACGTTCGTCCCGAAATCACTCCATTTGGTCTGCACTCTATTATTAGCACAATAAACCTGAAATCGAATTAGGGGTATATATAGGAGCTATGTCCAAATCTTAGCCAATCTCGATAAAATTTAGCAATGGTATTCCCGAGCTATAGGACATCAGGTAACAAAGATCGTTATTGTCGAATGCATATTACGGATGTGAGAGACACCAAATCGGATGAAACATACATACGGGAGCCATAGCTATATCTAAACCGATTTTCACCAATTTTGATGTACTTATTTCAAGACTGAATTCGGTCGGAAGTGCTAAAATTCACTCCATTTTGGATTGAAATTAGCCATTTGGTTTACAATTAACCCGAAATTGGTTGAAAATATATATGGGAGCTATATTTAAATCTAAACCGATTCTCACCAATTTCGAAAGGGTTCGTTCTTGGGCCAAAAAAATATTATTTGGAGGTGTTCATCTTAATTGGATAATAAATGCGACCTGCATTTTGTTCACAAAAATACATGCATAAATCGACTCAGAAAGTGATTCTATGAAGATCCTCAAAAGTAACTATGAATCTATCTCGCTTCCTTCTCCATGTTATAAACAATTGCACGAAGACATAATACCATTACCACTATGTGATGTAGGGTATGAAAAGGGTGCGTTCTTGGGCAAAACAAGTGATTTGTGCATCATCAACAACATATCCTTCGAACGACCTATAATTTGTTTACAAAAAAAATCGACTCAGAATGTGATTTTATGCAGATCACCAAAAGCAACTATGGGTTTATCTCGCATCCTTTTCCATGTTACAAAGAAAAAATTTCTAAAATATATGACCAGGAAAAAACGATTTTGAATCACTGTACGCCACTTCCAAAGAGGGAAAAATAATACAGCAAGGACAAGTTCTTATATATTCTTATGGAACTCAAAAAATCCTCCTTCTTATAGTTTTACTTACCATCCCCCGTCTTGGCCGGTTTCGTTGGGCGCCATTTCTTTTTGAATATTCGTCGCAAAAAATCAAGTGATTTGTGCAACATCAACAACATCTCCTTCGAACAACCTATACTTTGTTTACAAAAACACATGGACAGACTGGCATGCATAAATCGACTCAGAATGTGTTTTATGCAAATCACCAAAAGCAACTATGGGTTTATCTCGCATCCTTTTCCATGTTACAAAGAAAACATTTCAAAAATAGGACCAGGAAAAAACGATTTTGAATCACTGTACGCCACTTCCGAAGAGGCAAAAATAATACAGCAAAGATAAGTATGTTCCTACATTTTACTAAGAAATACAGCTTTCACTTACCATCCCCCGTCTTGGCCGATTTCGTTGGGCGCCATTTCTTCTTGAATATTCGTCGCAAAAAATCAAAGAATTTATGGCCTTTTGTGGTGCTCAAAAATTTCGCCTGAATCTGTGATATCTGTTCACTATATCGATCGCATGATTTACGCAAATCGTCTATTTGACGATTCAAAACGTTAATTGAAGTTTGGGCGGCATTCCGGGTTTGCATAGCTACGTCGGCATTGTTGAGTAGCTCATTTTCAATTTGTTCACTATCTCGTAAAATATAAAGTTCTTGATTCAGAACTATTAAATAGCTTTGCATAAATTCTGCTTCAAATTTGGTATGGAGCCGAAGGTCCTCTAACTCACGAAGACGTGCATTAAATATACGAATTTTTTCGTGCACCTGATGTATGATGCCATCCTGTTCTACCAGTAAATCCAAGAGCCAACGATAACGTATTTCAATTAGCCACGGAGAGGGTTGGCCATCTTCCGTGGCTGTGTAGTATGTGTCCTCCGACTGATGTGGTAATTGTCGCAATTTCGATATAAGTTCTGTGCCCGTCGGAAAATTATCGACTTGTTTAATATGTAAAGCTAAATACTTTTCCAATTCGTGTAAGGAGTTTGGGGGGATTTGCTCTTTGATCTCAGGATCCGGCACCTTCGGCAACAAATCCTCTACTTTGTTTTCCAAATAAAGAATATCTTGGATATCAATATTACATCCTGGCCGGCAATGTTCAATTAAATTCAATTCCGGCCATTCATCGTCCATATTGAGCGGAGGCACGTCCATAAGATATTTTCGATTACTCTCCGGTAAAAACTGATGAATTTCTACCAAACGTTTACGCTTCTCCTCAATGAGTTGATACAAATTTTTCTTGGTCTTCCGCAATTGAAAGACATTTTCATTGAAATTTTCAACTAGACTATTTAGTTTTTCCCGCAGTGTTACGATTTCCTTGTATTTATAGGTTAGAGTTTCATGCGGCTGTGGTTCATATTCAGCTCCAGTTTTCAGTTTATAATCACCAATGTTTTGTTCAGCTTCTTGTATCTTACGATCATCATCGGGGTGATTTTTATTGGGATCAGGTTTGTGTTTGAGCATTTTCTCCCAATTGAAGCTACGCTCAACCTGATACAGTTGACGAGACCGATAGCGTCTTAAAAGCCTTAACATTTTGCGAGTGAAGCGTGGTATAATCGTATTAGGATCTCGTCCAAAGAAAAACGTTTCAAAGGGTGGTTCTGGCATGCTGTCATCTTTATCTTCGGCCAGTGTCATTTGAGCGCGACTAGGATCGAAATAAGACAATGAAGGTTAATTGTTATTTAAAACAGCAATATGGGAGGATTTGTAGAAATGCCTCCAAAAATTGTTGGTTTCTTACTCTTGACTGATGTTGATGGATTCCACAACAGTATTTCCTCTATAGCATGTAATGGTATGGGATTGTGTGTGTTAGTATTTATTTAATGTATGTATTGTGTATTGAATATGTTTTTGATAATTTATTAGAGCCCTGACTTGCATCGCCCCCATTTGTCTTCTTTCAGTTTACGTCAGTCTTTAATAGCTATTGAAGATTACCAATTCGTTTTTTAGACCCTACACTACACAGTGGCAAGGGTATTATGTCTTCGTGAAATTGTTTTTAACATGGAGAAGGAAGCGACATAGATTCATACTTACTTTTGTGTAATATCAGCCCGCATAGTATGGAATTTTGCACATACTACCAAATCAGTGCTGAAAATAAGTATAAGTAGCTATAGATCCCATATATATTGTTCATCCGATTTGTTATTTTTGTCCTCCGCAGCTGTAATATGCACTCTGTAACAACAATATTTGGGGAAATATATCAAATGCAGCTCAGAAATACCTTTGCTAAATTTTATCGAGATCGGTTCAGATTTGGATATAGCTCCCATATATAACTTCGTCCGATTTACCTTTTATTGTGCACCAAACGTCTAATATTTGTCCAAATGGGATGGAATTTGGCACATATAACCGAATTGAGCCAAAAAGGTAGTATGCCAAATTTGGTGATCTTTTAAATTCGGACTCGTATTGCCCATTTGGTGCAATATTAATTTCAAATCAGATAAAGATATATATTTGATACACTTATTTCAGAGCTGTATCTGGTACCAAATATCATTGTTATGGAATGCATATTATGCTTGTGGGGACCTAAAACCGCTAATCGTATAAAACATATATATGGGAGCTATAGCAATATCTAAACCGCATGTGATTGACTTTAAGCCCCAAATCGGATAAAACATATATATGGGAGCTATGACTATATCTAAACCGATTTACACAAAGTTTGAAGTACTAGTTTATAGGATGAATTCAGTCGTAATTGCCAAAATTCAGTCCATTTTGGCTGATATTAGCCATTTGGTGAACAATAAACCTGATGTCGGATAAAGATATATATGGGAGCTATATCCTAATCTGAACCGATCTCAATAAAATTTGACAGAGGTATTTTCGAGCAGCATCTGATGTCCGGTACCAAATATCATTACCCTTGAGTGCATATTACGCATCTGAGGGACTTAAACACCAAATCGGATGAAGCATATATATGAAACATATATAGCTATAGCTATATCTGAACCGATTTCCTCCAAATGTGATTTACTTGTTTCTAGACTGAATTCGGTTGGTTGTGCCAAAATACAAGTCATTTGGACTTATATTAGACATTTGGTGCACAATTAACCCGAAATCGTTTGAAGATATATGGGAGCTATATCTTAATCTGATCCGATTATCACAAATTTCAAATATTGTTTGTTTCATCTTAATCGGATAATAAATGTGGCCTGCATTTTATTCACAAGAATACGGACGGACTGACATGAATAAATCGACTCAGAAAGCGATTCTATGAAGATCCTCAAAAGTAACTAATAGGTCTATCTCGCTTCCTTCTCCGTTTTACAAACAAATGCACAAAGACATAATACCCTTACCGCTATGTGGTGTAGGGTTTAAATATAATACTTTGTATTGGAGAAACGGAGTGAGAGTCATTCATGGAATACAGGATAGATGTACTAATGGTTTACGTAAAGTTCAAAAAATGGTACTAAACTTTAAAAAAGGTACCATTTGGAAATTTGATATGAGAATAAGTTTTTGAGAATGGTTTTGGAAATGTGTACTAAGTGTGCGTACTGTACTAAATTGAACTAAGTTTAGAAAAGTTTGGTTTAGGGTTAAAGAATGAAGCTGGATATTTTGTATTGGGATCTCTGTTGGTGGTAGGTTTGGAACGCAATCATTTAAAAAAAAAATAAACAAATTTTCTTTTTGGAAACATAAACCAATTTTTGACAGTCGGGCAATAGGTGAAATGAGCTTTTACTCGCAGACGAAAAATAAAATAAAAACTTGATTGTCTAGGGAGCATTTGCTTGTCTGCCTTAAACAAAATTTATGTGACCAGGCTATTAGAATTTTGATTATGAGAATATATACTTTATGGGGTCTACGACGAATATTTAGGGATGTTACAAACGGAATGACAAACTTAATATACTCTGCTTTTCAAGGTGGAGGTTATAAAAACACGAATCTAAAATTTTAAGGTGGACTTTTCGCTGATGAAGCAGCGGGCACTTACTTGTTCTGCGGACCTAATGTACATCTAATTTAATATTCGGTATTGTGATGATTTTAGCGACATTATTCACCGGAATTGTTTCAAATTTGGTATTTAAAGTTTGTAAGCTCCAGATCATCGTCTTCGTATAGTCTCCATATAACAGTTTTCATTTCAGTTTTCGGAAGTTTGAAATTTTTCAAGTTTCTTCCAAATTGTGGAGGGCATTAAAATTTCGGCCCAGCCGAACTTAGCTGCTTTTTTGCATGTTATTAACATACTTTATTTCGTTTGAAAGCTAGAATTATTTCCACAGAGGGACAGACATCGCTAAATCGCGATGTACGGATCTTGAATTTATATACTTTGTGGGGTCTAAAATGTATATTTTGAGGTGTAACAACTACAAAACGTGATTTGAGTTACGTCCGGTCCCCATGTATATTTTGAGGTGTAACAACTACAAAACGTGATTTGAGTTACGTCCGGTCCCCAAAAAAAGGCGCAAGTCTGGGCTCTAGGGTACTAAGCTACTTACATTCTCTTTAAAGCTTCCAGTCTTAATCGTTCCTCGATATCAGCTTTAATAGCTTCGAAGTTATCATCCAATCGTTCCATTCGAAACGAATACAATACATCATTGGATCTAAAGAAAATACATTATTATTAGATTTAAACGAATTTGAAATTTAAATGAACTTTTTGATACAACTTATATATAAAATTACAATTTGAAGCCTTTCCGATTAGTTGCAAACCAATGTACTTACCCAATACCAGTTATCTTGATGGGTATATGATCCAAATTCTTGATGAAATAATCATATAACTTTCGCTTTCCAACTTGAGCTACCTCCAAATCATATGCCAAGTCTTCACGCACATCAACTAGTTCAGCTTGTAATTCATCACGTATTTGATTCGTAATACGTTCGTCCAACAGCAAATCACGATGTCGGATACGAATCTCCTCATCGATATTAGAATTTTTTTCTATGAATTGATTGAATTTCCTTTGGAGATTAAGAATACTGTCCAGCACTTGCCTTTCATGGGCTGCAGCTGCTTCTTCTTGACGTTTTATTTCGGCATAGATTTTCTCCTGCTCCAATGAGGGGTAGTCGGGATCGGTTATATCTTCGCTGGGTATAATTTTTCGTGGCATCAATAACAGAGATTTCTTTTCAACTTCGATTTTCGGTCCGAGCCAATGATACACAAAGACATTGCCATCGTAACCCACACTAAAGATGTAACGGCCATCGTGGCTGAGTAATAAACGCGATATATTCCCGTTGAGAGGATCATGCATGTTGACCGTACGATAATTACGCAGATCGGTAAAATCTGTTGGATTTGTGAGTTGTATGCGTATCTTGCCATTAACCAAGCCAAAAAGTAAATATTGTTCTCTGAAATGGTGGGTGGTAACTGAATTTGATTCTCATAAAAAATATGTTCGAAAACCACTTACATATCTAAAACTGAGTGTATCTCAATGTCATCACCGTCTTTGATAATTGTCGAGCGAACGGGATTTGTGGCAGTGTCCATGGCTAGTTCATAAATATAACCGGCATCATAACCCCCCATAGATACCCACATGGTATCATTTGGTGTTGTTCTAAGCCATAATATTGGATTAGGTATGGCAGGTATGTGCAGAGGTTCTTCTTCCTCTTCGGGCTCAGAATCAGCTGGAAATATAAATAATTAAATTTAAGTTTAGCATGCATTTATGTGCTTCATTCCTACCCAAGGCAGCTTCCATATCAATTTGCAAGCCCGGATTGGCAGCCTTTAAACGTTCAATATCATCCAATTTCCGTTGTCTCTTCTTCTCCTTACGCCTTTTTATTACCTCTCTGCGCAGTTCACGCCTTATTTGACTTTTGACGGAATTGAATTTAACACTTTTCACAGCACTCTTATCGGTCAGATTATAACTGAGAAATACTTGTTCCTCACTGACATCCAAAGGCAGCCGATATTCATACACCTCACCACTTTTACAACCAACAAGAATTGTCGACTCTTCATCTTTCCAATAGAAACAGTTGGGAATTGCCTCAAATTGTACAAAACCCAAAGGCTGCAAGTGCATATAGGCATCGTTCTTATCCTTTAAACTATACAGAAAGATGGAACGATCTGCACTTCCGGTTATCAATAATGTATTCATGGGATTTATTGTAATTTTTGTTATGGCAGCTGTGTGGGTTTTTATTGGTCGTATCAAATATATATTTGGTTTGTGGGGATGCGTTAAGTCCAAATAGATTTGCCGTAGAATGCCATCTTCAAAACTTGCCACCAATTCCATGCAAGAATCCGAAACTTTGGGGCCAAACCATAAAAGATCTGTACCCACGGCTGAATATTGTTTTTCCAAAATAACCTTTTCATTTTCATAATCGTAGACTAAAATTCGTCCATCTTCGCCTAATGTCATTAAGTGTGGCGACACTGGACTGGTTTGGGCTGCAATTACCCGTCCGCCATGGCATGAATAGAGTTTATACGATTCATTGGGAATATCACGGGTATTTAAATCGCCATACCAAATTCCACCATTGCCGTCCTTTAAAGTTATAAAAATTGTTCGAAATATGAAAAAATGTTTGGATGTAAATAAGTAAAAAAAATTATCTGTTACAGAACCTACAGGAACTTACTAGTTTTTTCGATATTTTTACATTTTTGCAGGTTCTGGAACAGAGAAAATATGTTTAGTTCGACCAGCAGGGACTGCTACTTTTTGACAACTACATAATCTCTGTACTACCATTAAATTGAAAAAAAAAACAAGTTAAAAAGCAGTAAGTTCGGCCGGTCCTAAATTGGAATACCCTCCACAACTTGGAACGAATTTTCAAGTTTTCAAAAAAAAAAAAAAACAATAAAAAATGGAATCACTTAAAAATGCTGTTAAAATCCTAAAAATGCCGAATATAGGGAGTTAACGTTATTTTGGTATCTATACGAAGATGTGGACCTGCATAGGCAATTTTCTGTCACAGGCTGGAGTATCCATTACGAAGTGCAAATACGAAATTTGAAACAATTCCGGATGATAATGTCGCAAAAATGTCAAAATACTGAATATAGGCAGGTACCGTTATATGCTCTATGATCACTACTATGCATCCTCCCATTTCTATTTTTTCGCCCAATAACTTACCAACACATAATAACCGAAATCATCGTCATCAAAAAGTTTTATTTTCTGCACCATCCTGATTTCACAATCGCCAACGTAAAATTCAAATATCGGCTCAATTTCGACAAAGCGATCATCATCCGGTGGATCAGCCAAATCCACAGTTTCCCAAAACCATATGCGTACATAACCGTCCATACCCACTGTCGTCACTTCACCATTCTCCATGGTAATTCTGACAATGGGTTTGCTGTGACACGGTCGCCGGCCTTTGCGACAAATTTCGAATTTTATCAAGCCAGCTTCCCACAACAGCATATTGCCCCACTCACAACTCGAGATTACATTCTCATCGGGCAACATGTAAACGGCATAAATATCACTGAAATCGGTTTTACCAAAACGACCCAGATCACCCTGCAACTTAAGGCCAGTAAAGGTATTGGCCATTTTCCAAAACTTAATGTGACTCAGACCACAGGACACCAAGAGAATGGGATTAAAGCGCGAGAAATGCACATGAAGCACATCGTTTTGAAAAGCCTTCGATCGGAGAATAACTTCTGCCTTTTGCCATTTCCAAATAGTTAACATAAAATCCGGATAACCGGCCTGTGAGGCAAATAACTCGCCGCTGTAGTTGTAGGAGCCACATGTAAATTGTTGTTTGGCAGCTCCTTCCAATTTAAGTCTAGGCTGTTCATTGGGATAATCATAAATAAATACCGTTGCATTTGGTCCATTTTCACCAATTGTCAAGAGCTGGGGATAATCCGGATGATAGTTTTTCTAAAAGGCAATACATTAACAAAATATGTTGTTTTATTTTTTTTTATGTTGCAGATTAGCCTTACCGTTATGAAGCCAATACCACAACCAAACACAGACTCACGAAATGTCACTTCTCGCCGTGATATACTAAAATAATGAATATATGTGCCGGAAGCAAAGACCAATGTATCCTCTTCAATCAGGACCATATTGTATAGACGTTTGCAGTCATAGCCAAAGGAATGCCTGCAATGAACATCATTTTCATTACAGAAAAAAATCCTTAAACATTGAAACAAAAACACCTACTTCAATTTTACGATTTCACTGGCCTCAAAGGATGGTACAAACTCCCTTTCATTTTCATCATTTTCAAAAGATATTTCCGATTCGTTTAGCATTTTAGTTAATAAATATTTGTGTTTATATATTTGCGAAAAAATCAAACTATTTTTGTTTGAAGAAAACAAATAAATGCAAAGCTACTTTTTAATGTTAAGAGAGTTTCCCGAGGAAAGTTTGTTTCGGCTGTTTCTTAGACAACGAATTTCTGGTTTCCTTGTTTTTCTGATGTTTACAAGCAGGAAGCCACCAAACAGTCGACGTAAACAGTTTAAGAAAATACATGGAATTGAGCGGCATTGCTATATGGGAGTATCTTGTCAAATATTTATAAATCATTAAGATATAGTGTAACTAATTAGGCACATATTAAACACTTGGAGTTACTATTTTTAAAACGAAATGAGATAAGGACCAGTCCTGAGACATTCCGTTCTTAAATCTTTTCAGTATATGGATTATGGAAAAACGGGGAGTTATTCCAAAACCTCAACGTAGCTCACAAATATTTGGGCGAATGTGTTCGGTACATTGAGAATTCAAAGTTTACTTTCTTTAAAAAATGTTAATGGGCCTTTAAAATGCGTAAAACCGGTATAGGGTAAGTGTACCAGTAGTCGGCACTTTTAGGGTTTTCGCGTTTTTAATCGCTCACAATTCTGAATGGAAATTTTCAATTATTACAAAGTTAATTTATTCAGATTATTCAGTTTTAATAACTTTTTATTAAATTTCATAAATTTGTAGTTTTATTAAAACAATGCTTTTTTGCCAGTAGTCGGCACCACTTGCCAATTGTCGGTATGGCATGTTCCAACAGTCGGCATACCAGTTTTTTTTGTAAGCAAAATTAATAATAATAATAAATTAATTCATTAAAATATAATATTTTTTTTTTGATTCGACGTCTTTATTGTACTTTTCTTAAGAATATGGATTGTTGAGGACCTTCACAGACAAAAATTTAATTTTTATTAGAATAAATCATCCTTTCTCACCGAAATTGTACACAAAGATAGCTGACAATATATTTGAAGTAAACAAAATACATTTAGTTATAATAGTTTCATTTATTTGGGCTTAAAAATAAAAAGTGCCGACTACTGGGACATGCCGAACTTAGGCACACTTACCCTATATTGATATATAAATCTCAATATAAACTATTGTTTTACACCTCGAAATATACATTGCAGACCCCACAAAGTATACATGTTCTTGATCAGCATAAAATTCTATGTCGATTTAGCGATGTCCGTCCGTCTATCCGTCTGTGGAAAACACTCTAGCTTCCGAACGAATTGAAATAGATTGATAAATTTTTACTCAAATGTATGTTATGTCTGTAGGATTTTTGGTATTGAAAATGGGTGATGTAGGTCCACGTTTTGGCATAGCCCCATATAATGGTACCTCCCTTTTTCGGTATTTTGGTGATTTAAGCGACATTATTCACCGGAAATATTTAAAATTTGGTATTTGAACTTTGCAGGTCTACGTCTTCGTATAGGCCCCATATAACGGTAACTCCCGATATTCGGTTCTTTGTTGATTTTAGAGACATTATTCACTAGACTTGTTTCAAATTTGGTATTTGAAGTTCGTAATGGATACTACAGCCTAAGACAGAAAATTGTCTATGCAGGTCCACGTCTGCGAATAGCCCCCATATAACGGTACCTCCCGATATTCGGTATTTTGATGATTTTAGCGACATTATTCACCGTTTTCTTAGGTTTCGTATTTGAATATTGCAATGGCTTATGACAAAAGTTACCTATTCAGGTCCATGTCGTCGTATAGACCCTAATATAACAGCTACATTCGGTATTTTTAAGATTTTAACAGAATTTGCCAGGTTCGTTCCAAATGGTGGAGGGTATTCAAAGTTGGGCCCGGCCGAACTTACAGCTTTTTTACTTGTAGCAAAAGTTTTAGAATCCCTGTTGCTTCCGTCCCTAAAAAAGGACTTCCGTTTTTATACCCTCCGCCTCGAAAAGGAGGGTATATTAACTTTGTCATTCCGTTTGTAACATCCCTAAATATTCGTCATAGATCCCATAAACTATATATATTGATAATCAACATAAAATTCTAAGTCGATTGAACGATGCCCGTCTTTCCGTCTGTCTGTTGAAATCACGATACAGCCCACATTATTTGACGTGGAGCTTCAAAATTTGACAGAAAAATTTGTATTGTGTCTAGGATGGTTTGTATTGAAAATGAGATATATTGGTCCACGTTTTGATATAGCCGCCATATATAAGGGTACCTTCCGATATTCAGTATTTTGATGATTTTCGACACATTTTTTTTTACCAATTTGTCTAAAAATTAGTTTGTGTAGGTCATAATAGATTCTAGCTCCAGTGGAGAAACACTGTATGTATAGGTCCACGTTTTTTGTATAGCCCCCATTCGGTATTTTGATTAATTTTGCCATATTTTTCCACAGATTTGTCTAAAAATTGGCATGTGTTGTTCAGGTATTTAAGAAGATTTGGTAGATGACAATACTTGACGTTTAAAATTGTCATGGAGGTTCCCGTATAACAGCCCCACCCACTTTATGGTTAAAAACGGTCCAAACGGTCTTACTGGTATTTTTAGTTTCAAGTAGAACACGTTTGAATTCAAATACTTTTATATAAAAATGTTTTCTTTACCCAAAGGTGGAGGGTATTAAAAGTTCGGCCCGGCCGGATTTAATGTTTTTTTTTATTTGCTCCCTAACCAATATGGTTTCAGGGATACTGATAGCAAAACCACAGATTTACAAGGGTTTGGAAATTGCCTAAATAAGCGCAGGCCATACTGCGTTCAATATGGTCGATCATTCGAAGCAGAGTTGCGACCTAACTAACTCCGCCCATCCAAACGATGTGGCATTTATGTTCACAAACTAGAGAATTAAAAGTAATTCTAATGTTAGAAATCTCTAACAAAGGCAAACACAGTGCAAAAATGAAAAAATACTGGGGTATTTCCACAACATTTGCAAGCCACCTATATTAACCAGAACCGAAGCCACTCCAGGGGAAAAGACAAAGAGACGTCAATCCCACGGCAGCGGGTTCTACGACACCGGATTGACCCGAAACAACAACACTCCAGTTTCGGCCAGCGGCTGCCAACCCAGTGTATACATGTTCGTGTTTGTTTATTTTTCTGTTTTGGGAGCAGCACATCCCGGAATGCTTGCTCCGGATTCTTTTGGTCCGTGCCGGGCTTGAGGAAAACCCCGGACCATGGTTCTGTACGGTTTGCCAAAACACCATCCACCATAGATCAGTCTCGGTGCGATGTAATGGATGCAGAGGATGGGTGCATTTTAGAAATTGTTCCGGTTTAACCCGGTTGCGAGACTATAGCGATAGGGACTATGTTGCTTCGTGCTGCACCAACGTAGTCCCCAGTGAGTCCACGACCTCGTCGTCAACTTCCGAGTCGTCATCGGAGTATGGAACTCCCCCGCAGTCTCCAGAACAGCAACCTTTACCGCAGCACTTAACGCCACATGTTGCTGTTCCAATTCCGGACAATGCATCGTTCTTGCAGTTCAATTGCAACGGACTCCGAGGTAAAATTGATGAGATAGTGGACTTTATGAATCGGAGGAACATTAAGATCGCAGCGGTGCAGGAAACCAAGCTCAATGAAAATTGTAGCTTACAACGTTGCAATGGTTACAACGTATTGAGGAAAGATCGCACCAGAAGTGGAGGTGGGGGATTAGCGTTCCTGATACACCATTCTGTTCAATACAGACCTATCTCGCTTGAGCTAGTCTCTAGTGACCCGTACATGGAGTGTATGGGGGTAGCAGTCAAGTGTGGTACTGCCGAGGTAGAGGTGCTTAATGCGTATATCCCGCCGATTAATAGCTGTGAACCGCGTTACTTGCCTAATATAAGCCCACTTTTGGAAGGCAATAACCGCCTGGTACTAGGGGACTTCAATTCCCACCATGAGTTGTGGCATTCCGTCCTAGGTAATGACCAGAGGGGATCAACGTTGGCAGAACAGATTGACTGCTCCACATTTTGCACGGTAAACGAGGATGCCCCCATTCGAATAAGAGGAGAGTGTCACAGTTCGCCAGACTTAACCATCGTGTCACCCGGTCTGATAAATGACGTGACTTGGCAACCCGTCATTTCTCTTGGCTCAGACCATCTCCCGATAATCGTCTCCATCAGCAGATCGCCCGATTTCATAACCTCTGAACGCCGCACTTTCCTTAACCATGGGAAAGCCCACTGGCCCGAGTTCAGAGAGTTCACCAACCTTCGCTTCAGAGAACTGCCCAATCCTTCTGATGTTCGGGTAGCTGAAAGGATTTTCCGGGACATCATCAAAGCTGCAGCCGCTCCCTATATACCTGCTGGTCGAATACCCGAAGTAAGACCAAATTTCCCAGCAGAGGCAGCAGGATTAGCGAATGAGCGTGATGAGCTCCGACGTACCAACCCTACTGATCCCAGAGTCAGTGAACTGACAGTGGAAGTCAACCGGTTGGTACAGGAGCATAAGCGGAAAAAGTGGCTAGACCATCTGAAGTGTTGCAACATCGGAACCGATTTGAGTAAACTGTGGGTAACGGTAAAGTCACTCTCGAACCCTGGGAAAAAGGATGATAGGACTGCAGTCACATTTAACGACGTAACTGTGACTGATCCGAAGAGGTGCGCTGGCTGTTTTAACCGCCAATTTGTCGAGCACCCCGAGAGTGATAGGGCGAGGCGAAGAGTACTACGTCGTATAAGAGCTCTTCCCGCCGAGGATGTACCTCCACAGTTTACGATGGGTGATGTTGCGAATGTCATCCGAAACGCTAAGTCATCTAAAGCGTTGGGCCCGGACGGAATATCAATGGTAATGTTGAAGCAACTGGATACGCCGGGAGTTGAGTATTTAACCAAAGTCCTTAACTTGTCGTTAGCCACCCACATAGTTCCCGAAGCCTGGAAAATGGGCAGGGTGGTCCCGCTACTGAAGCCTGGCAAGGATGCCAGCAAAGGCGAATCATACAGGCCAATTTCGCTTTTGTCGCCAGTAGCAAAGACTCTCGAGGCCTTACTCCTCCCCAGTATCAGAGGAAGCTATTCAGTTGCTAACCATCAACACGGTTTCCGTCCACTACATAGCACTACAACAGCATTGCACGCCATATCCACACATATCAGTCGAGGACTCAACCAGAACAGGCCGTGCCACAGAACAGTAGTGGTGGCTCTCTCTCAAAGGCCTTTGATACGGTCAACCATGCCACGCTGTTCGAGGACGTTGAGAACACTACCCTCCCGCCAAGTTTGAAACGTTGGATAGTCAACTATATGTGTGGACGCCAGTCGTACGTGGAATTCCGGAATAAGAAGTCCAAGCCTCGTAGAGTGAAACAGGGAGTTCCCCAAGGTGGGGTGATATATCCGGAACTGTTTAACCTCTACCTTTCCGGAATTCCGCGCCCTCCAGACGGCATCGAGATCGTAACTTATGCGGATGATTGTACGATCATGGCGTCGGGTCCTGTAGTTGATGACATATGTGTCAGGGTGAATAATTATCTCGCGGAGCTTGCCGCCTTCTTCCACGCGAGGAATATGAAAATATCCGCCACTAAATCGACGGCCACACTATTTACCACATGGACTGCGGAGATGAGAACACAGCTGAATGTGCAGGTCGAGGGGCATATAATTCCGACCACCAACTACCCCAAAATTCTTGGGGTCACATTCGATAGCATGTTCAAGTCTTCCGCGCAAACCACAGCTATTTGCAATAAAATGAAAAGTAGGAACAAGGTCCTCAAGGCGCTAGCCGGCAGCACTTGGGGTGCGGATAAGGAAACCTTGTTGACCTCTTATAAAGCGATAGGTCGGTCTGTGATTAGCTATGCGGCTCCAGTGTGGTCGGCGAATACAAGTGCAACGCAGTGGAAATGTATTCAGACCTGCCAGAATGCCGCCCTGAGAACTGCAACAGGGTGCCTCCTCATGACGCCTGTTGACCACTTACATGAGGAGACGAAGGTTCTTCCCTTACGTCAGCATAATCATATGCTTTCGTTGCAGTACCTGCTTGGGTGTTATCGCGGGAGTCACCCTAACCACCATATGGTGGATAGAACTCCCCCACCCAGGCGTGTCAGGAAGGACCTGCACGATCTAGAGAGAGAGGTCCAGCGATATAAGGGAGAGCCTCTAGATCATGAAGCCTATCAAGCGGGTCTGAATAGCATTCATACTGATGCAGTCGCAGAGGCAGTCAATAATTACAGTATGAATGCCATACTCGGAGTCCACCCCATCCATTGCAGCTGAAGAACGTCGGCTGCCTAGGCAAACCAGGGTAGTTTTGGCCCAACTACGTTCAGGATGGTGCAGCCGTCTCAATTCGTATTGGGCACGAATTGATGAGGATGTGCGGAACGCCTGCCCAGCGTGCGATACAGGCCCGCACAACACGCTGCATTTGTTTAATTGTCCTGCCAAGCCTACCCAACTCCGTCCAGAGGATCTATGGCTACAGCCCATAAAGGTAGCAGAATTCCTAAACCTGGACATTGAGGAAGAACCGGATTAGTCAAAAAAAAAACAACAGAACGTGTAAAACTGCTACAACAACAACAACAAAGAGACGTTAATACAAGTTCAGTAGTTGTTCGACCTTAATTATGCTTATCCGGTCTCGACTTCACTACTTAGCGACAGCGACAGTGTGGATCACCTTGATAAGACCAGAATATGTCGGTCAGGCAACATAAGGTGTTACTGACTAGCAGTTGTTTAATTGTCTACATAATGCAAGAAGTCTATATTCTTTAGACTAATGGACAAAACTATTTTGCTTTCTTTCCTTCTCTACTTTTATTACTTTAGAAAAGATCCTGATCCCGATTACAGTCAAACTGTTACACAATAACTCTGACTTCTGACTTAGTAATGAAACTCTTCCTTGTGACACATTTTTTCCCCTGATACCGTGACAGGAGGCCTCGAAGAACGCTCGAACGTTAAGGTATTTGACTTATCACTGTTCAGAATTGTTTGGCGAGACTGATTCCGAAACAAAAACCAATTTTTAATGAACGTTATTATTTTTGGTACATTTTTTTTTTTTTTCAAAATATAAAACAAGTTGTTTTTAATATTTGAAATTTTTCCTTTCATAGAATTTAAAAGTAAGTAATATATAAACAATCAACACACAATATCCTTAAAAGCATCGTCATCATCATCTTGGAAAAAATCTTCAATATTTTCAATTTCTTTACTTATATTTAAATTATCTACGGTTGGCTTTGGGGTAGCAGTCTTTTTACATGATTCACTTGGCGAAAACACAGAGGCGGCACTTGCAGGCTTAGCAGGAGAAAAGTATTTTTCAATTTTATTTGACTAAAACGAGAGTAGAAATAAAAATAGAATTGTAATAAAATTATTTTTTGTACCCTTAATTTATTTCGCGTTACCGTAGTTGGTGCTGAGGTGAGTGTAGCGTCTTGAAGATTCTCACAAAATATACCAGCTTTATTGAGAACATCTTGTTTCGCTTTCAGCATATTCCAGATAATGTCATCTGCCGTTTTTGACGCCATTAAATAACGACATGTAACAGGGTTTTGTTGACCGATACGATGTGCTCTGCTTTCAGCCTGGGCTAATGTCTGAAAAGAAACAATTGTCACATTTATACACACTTATTGAATTTACAGCTTAAAAGAGATGCCGTATATTGAGATTTTTTTATGCCTTTTTATTCATTTTCTATGAAACTACATTTCTTACAAAATACCAAGTTTTCCCGAAATAGAGCGATTGTTTGAATCAAACTTATATATTTAATGTCATTTTAGACAATACGCTGCAGTATTAAATATAACTTATTACATTGGATATACTATTTATAACTTACACTTGGATTCCACGTTAATTCTGCAAATAAAATGAGTTCGGCTGCTGTCAATGTTATGCCGGAGTTGCATGCGCCCAATGATAATACGGCAACCTTACATGATGGTTTCTTTTGAAATGCATCGATAAATTCACCTCTATCCTGTTTCCTTGTCGAACCATCAATGCGTATAAATGTAACTTTAAGTTTCCCCAGGCAGTCACAAATGGCATCCAACATAACGCGGTGATGGGCAAAAACAATAAACTTCTTTGGTTCCTTAACTTGTTGTTTAAGATAGGCGCAAACAGCTTTTGTTTTCACTTCAGCTGTTTGAGCATAAAATCGCAAGAGAATTTGCTCTCTTTCATGACCTTTACTACTTTGAAAAGTTTTGGCAACAGTGCTTAAGGACTCTTTAATTTCTTCGTTTGACCAAACCAAGGAAGGATCTAGCACCACCGTTTCTCTGGACATAGTACACATCAGTAAGAGACTTTTTAATTTGGATATTTTTCAAATATTTACCTAAATTTTTCTGCCAAATCATTGAGTACTTCAGCTTTGGTTCTTCTAATCATAAATTTAAGTTTCAGTACCACATTAAGTTCCTTCAGGTTAGATTGGCCATTAGCATCCCAACCAAAATTCGTTTGTTTACCATCGCAATAACGTGTTGCTGTACCAAAATGTTATTATTTATTATTTTCGAAATACTGAAGTCATTATGCATGCTTACTAAAATCAATATAGCTCATAAATTTCCGGTCAATCATTTGCAATTGACTAAACAATTCAACAGGTTTCGATAGGGCAGGTGTTCCGGATAACAAAATTACATGTTTAGCTTGCTGTGATAAGCGGTCAGCTACCATAGTGCATTTTGCTTTTGGATTTTTTAAATTATGCGATTCATCAAATATTAAAAAACCAAATTTACGATCTGTAATTTGTTGAATATTCCTTTCCATCATGCTATAACTGGTTATGAGAACTTTACAATCGCCTATATATTGCTGATTGGAATTGAGAACTTGAATGTAATGCAAAGGTATATATGGTAGGAGTTCTCGAATGTGATTAGCCCATGAATCTCGGGTTGATGCTGTGGTACAAATGAAGAGTGGCCAATCTTCTCTATAAAAGTCAGCAACCGCAATAGCCTGGTAGGTTTTACCCAAACCCATTTCATCACAGATCATACAACGGCCATTTTGAGATATGGCAAAGCTGGAAAAAAAGAATGAAACAAAATAAAATCATTGGCAAGAGAAATGTTTTAACCTTTGATATTTAAACCTTTAAAATTAGTGTTTTTATACCCTCCACCTTGAAAAGGAGGTATATTATTATTCCGTTTGTAACATCCCTAAATATTCATCCTAGACTCCATAAAGTATATATATTCATGATCAGCATAAAATTCTAAGTCGGATGGTTGGTATTGGAAATTAGATATATCGGTATAGCCGCCATATAACGGTACCTTTTCATATTTTGTATTTTGATGCTTTTTGTCACATTTTTCCACGGATTTGTCTAAAAATTGGTATATGTGTGTCAAAATGGATTCTAACTCCGGTGGGGAAACATTGTATATATGGGTTAACGTTTTGGAATTACCTTCATATTACGGTACCTCCAGATATTCGGTATTTTGATGATTTTTGCCACATTTTTCCACGGATTAGTATAAAAATCGTTATTTCTAGTTCATAATGGGTTCTAGCTCCGGTGGCAGAACATTTAATATTTAGGTCCATCTTTTCCTATAGCGGACATATTACGATACCCACCACTATTCAGTATATTGATAATCCTAGTCACATTTAACCACGAAATTGTTTCAAATGTGGTATTTAAGATTTGGTAAATTACAATCCTTGAAGTATAAAATTGCAGATATAGGTTATCCAAACGGCCCCCATATAACGGCCTCACCCACTTTATGGCTTTTTTAAAAAGTATTATCCAAACGGTCTTACTGTAATTTAAAGTGGAACACGTTTGAATTCAGATACTTTTACAAAAAATTGTTTTCTTTACCCTATGGTGGGTAACATTAAAAGTTCGGCCCGGCCGAACTTAGTGTCTTTTACTTGTTTTAAATCTCAACGTATTCCACATAAGTCTTTGATCCCTTGTGCATTGTATTTTCAATAATAAGAATCGGCTTTAATCTATCTCTTTTCTTACAATTAAAAAAGTTATATTTATTTGAATAAATAAAAATAAATTATATTTCTTTTGAAAGTAGCAAAGTAGGACCCACCAAAATTCAATATTTTTTCTATACGTAAATTGGAAATATTTTTGATTGGGATACAATCTACCTTTAGAGGATTCTGATAATAAAGTAATATCAATAATAAGCTGGAAATGGTAATATCAAGTAACTGTCTGAACAACATACCTTACACCTTCCCTTTGAAATGGCATTAGTTTATTAGCCAAAGTTGGTTCCAATGACTCCAAACATGAACTGTCTACTCGTTTTGCAGGTGCAAGGCATAAATTTAATATTGCCTTCGGTATTACACCCATAACAACATCTGGCTTCAAATTATTTACTCGATCTTGCAACAATTTATATTCGGTGAGAGCAAAATTCCAAAAACGGGTTTGAGGATCTAAAATGAAATGTGTAATAACTGATTTTTTAAGCTTCTATATTTTGCTTACCATACGTTTTAGACGGTATACTTTTGAAGACTTCGATAAGTTTATTATGAAAACTGGAAGGCTGTACCTCAAATCGTTGAGCATTTATCATTGCAACTTTGCAACTGACAGAATTTAGAAATACAGGAGCAACATTCTTCTGCGTTTGCGCAGTATTTGTTTGGGCCCCACCGTTCTGGATATAGTTTTTCCCATTACCTCCATCTAGTGATTTCTTTTTATAAAAGTCCCCCATGGTAACCTCATTAGATGTAGGTCTTTTATATGGATGTGCTGCATCTCGAGCCGGATGCTGTAGTTCTTGACGTTGTTTAAAAATGTTACTACTCTTCATGGCATTCAGGAAAGAGGATGCTCTGTTTTCTGCGCTAGGAACCGCTAACACCGGACCCGCCGGCTTGCTTAATGGAGGCGCAGGCTTGTTTAATGGAGGCCCAGTCTTATTTAATGAAGGCACAGGCATAGCTGTGTTAGGCGGATCAGCTTTACTATTGTTTTTGTTGTTTGTAGCGTTGATAGATGATATTAGGTTTCCGGTGATTCCAGGGGCCACAGACTTGCATATTGATGGCGCAGTGACAACTGCTTGCGGCGATTGTTTACTGCTGTTGTTATTGTTTATATTCACCAAACTTGCCTTTTTGGCCTTTAATTTTTCGAGAGCTATTCGCTTTTTCTCAGCAATTTCTGCAGCAGAACATGACATGTTGCAATAATTTGGTTGGTTTCTAAAGAAAAAATATTTTATTTATTCATTTAATTCATAATTTTAAACATTTTTCTAATCCAGCGGCAAAAATGTTGTGAAATGAAATCCGACAGTTCTAAAACTCGAACTCGACTATGGACTTGGGTGAAAACCGAGTACTCGACTATTCATACAATTCATAGTCGGTTTTAAATTCCTGTTCAACTATTGTGTCCTTTTCAGCTTATGGTCTGTTCTGAAACTTCAAGAATGTAATAGTTTTTACTACGAAAACCGATGTTTTTTCTTTATGATATTAAAAAAAAATGAAAAACTAGGATATTCTTGCAGGTTCTGTGATTTTAAAGCTATATATCCTGTTGATCCTGTTGTTTTGTTGCAGAACAGAGCGAATGCGCGCGTGGAAACCAAAATGAAAGTCGTCCCCAATGGAACGAATATAAAAAACGAAAAAGGAATACTTGATAAAAAAAAAATTAACAGAAAACAAAATCCCCGAGGGACCTCTGTTGTTTACGAATGAGTGTAATGCATAATGCTAGGAACACAATTGGAGCGAACGACGAATTTTTTCGCGGCGTATGTTCGTCGTCAAAAATAAAACACATATGTGTATATGGAAGTGCACACAATCACGGCACCGGCGAAAATTTCGTCGGTCGCCGCGAACTCAATTAGCTTTATTTCTATTTCATACGCCGGCGACCGGCGAACAAAACAGTACAAGGTGGCCATACTTGTACGAATTTTATGTGTTTTAGTAAATAAAGTTACTTTTTACTTTAAAATTTGTTATGGTCACTCTACTATCTGTTACTCGTATAAAAAAAACATAATTAATTTGTTTATTTATTTGTGTACTTGCGCCTGAGTGAAGATGGATATCAGTGAATTTATAATAGAGAAGATGGACATAAGTGAAATTATAATAGAGAACGTAAAGAATTATGTGTTCTTGTATAATTCATTGTAGTCAACAAATGAGCAAAAAGTAAACAACTTCATCAGCTGTTTTATAATTTCGTCGGTATTGTGTTCCATACGACGAATTTTCGCGGCTTATTTTGTCGCCGCGTAGGGCGAAATTCGTCGTTCGCTCCAATTGTGTTCCTAGCATAACCCGAGGGACCTCTATTGTTTGTGTGGATAGTTCCACAACGGACAACGAAGCAGAACGATTTTTTTCAACGGCGGCGGTGGCTTTCCCGTTTGAATTGACACTGTTTGTTCATTGAGAGAACGTAGGAACGAGTTTCACAATCAATATTATACACACAGTGCTCGGCTTCAGAACCTGAAGAATCCACTAGATTCGATTTTTTTCGATAAAAATTCTTGAAGAAGAATGAGAAAGAAAACACAAGTATAAACAGAACGAATAAATAAGCTGTAAGTTCGGCCGGGCCGTCGTCTAAACGACAACTTTTGTCATAAGACAGTAAAATATTCAAATGGGAAACTTAAAAAAAATGGTGAATAATGTAGCTAAAATCATCAATATAGGAGGTACTATTATATGGGGTTATACCAAAATGTGGACTTGCACAGACAATTTTCTGGCTTAAGCTGTAGTATTCATTACGAACTACAAATACCGAATTTGAAACAATTCCGGTGAATAATGTCGCCAAAATCATCAAAATGCCGAATGACGGGAGCTACCGTTATATGGAGGCTATACGAAGACGTGAACCTACACAGACTTTCTCCAGTCATATGCTTATATGAACTAGCAAAGTAAAAAAGAAGTATTCTTGTAACTTTGGAACCCAAAATCTCGGGAAGTATGTATGTCCCTAATAGCATGTTCACACGATAAATTGAATGACGTTGTTTGCTCTCAGAATCACGTACACGAATTAACCCGTTCATACGGCACGATTCGTAATTCATAGTAAAATAATTCCTTTTTTCAAAAATTTTGTTTGTTTAATTTAAATGGGAATTTATATGAAAATACATTAAATTCACACTAATATGAATAGAAGAATTATTGTTTTCCACCCAAAGATTTATTATATCATTAATTTTACAATTTTCATTCATGTTTCCAACTTTTTGTGTAAATGTTGACATTTTGGACATATTTTAGTATTTTTCTATTTTCAAATTCTGCTGGAGAGACACTTCTTAAACTTTTTTTTCTGCCGACACAAACATTTTGAAAATATTGCATCTTTTGTTTCCAGTTTTCTGTGGAAATTTCAACTCGTGGACAAAATGCGCACCTCGGATGAGAGGGAAAACAAAATGTTCTTTCGTTTGAATGTACATACGCCATTCAACATTGTAGTTTTCATTCATAATTTTCAGTCTTCCCAAAAAATTTAAAAATTTTATTAAATTTTCGTATTTTTTAATTTTTAAATGTCATAATTTATTTTATCGATAAATGCTCTCATTTGTTAGGGATGGGACATATTTTTTCGTTGTTCTGAGAGTGATTTGATTTGAACAACGTACAAATATGAGTGTTCGCTCAGGAAATTTTGTGTGAAGAATTAGATAGTTTTTTCATAGTTAAGGGCCAAACAACGAATAGAGAGCGAATCAAGTGCAGTGGAAACGCCACATAAGAAAAAAATTTGATATGATATCGAAAAAGTTGGAAAGCTATTAGATTCTTACAGGATCTGGAACACAGCATTAATTGCTCTGTAAAGGTGAGAATACATAAAACGGTTTTTTGACTGGCTTAAGTCATCGGCTGGCTTCTTCGGAAATTAACAAAGGAGGCCAACATCGATGACTTAAGGCAGTAATAAAGTGTTTTATGTATTCTCACCTTAAAAATATAATATTTTTAACAACGATAACGTAGTATCAGGGTACAATAAGGAAGTAGAATAGCTTCGTAAAACTACAGAAATACAGCCCTGAAGTTATGACCGCTTCCAGTCAGAATTATTCAAAATTATACGCAAGAAGTTGTTTTTATTTATTTGATATTCTTCCTCATTTTTAAAATAAGCTAAAAAACGTGAAATATTAAAGAAATTCAATTCCATGGCAAAACTGGCGAATAGCTTTAATGCGCGTCCCGCAATGTATTTTTCTCTCAATCATTAATTTTGAAAATATTTTGATTTTATTTTTCAAAACAATAAATACATACACAAAATTGGCAGAAAAGAAATTGCAATCAGCTGCTAGATCTACCATACATTTTTATTGTACAATGCGTAGTAGATTCTTCCAAAATCTATAATTTTCAAATAAGGGTGGGAAACTTTAGGAGGCTTAGGTTGGAAGAACAAGGAGGGTTAGGTTGGTTGGCCCTAGGCTCCTTTGTTCATTTCCGAAGAAGCCAGCCGATTTGTTCATTTCCGAAGAAGCCAGCCGATAACTTTAAGCGCTTTATGTATTCCCACCTTAATTTCAAACTTCATTCCATAATTATTGACGGGCGACGAGTGGCAAAATAAAATCATCTGACGTTTTCGCATTGTTTGGAGGAACAATTATTCTTTGTTTTGTTTTGCTCGCTCAAACGATAAACAATATTCATTACCTTTGATTTGATTATTTACTTTGTTCATCTTTGCTCTTTGGTGTACGTCGTAATTTAAAAACATTGTTTATATTTAAAGATTGAAGAAGCAAAAAGCTCAGCTACGAATCAGCAATGACGGCATTACCCAATGAAGAACAACACTTGGAGGAAATGGCCAGAGATGTGCTCAGTAGCGATGGTGGTCATATCACCTTCTTCGATTTGAGCTGGGAGGATGTTATCATACCCAAAATCTTGTCAAACCTTACACTGAAAGAACTCTTTACATTTCGATGCTGTTCGCAGACTACGAAACGTCTTGTGGAGTTGGCCTTGGAAAAATTGGGGGAAATCGATTTTGCGGGCAACAATAGTGTCAATATTGATCACACGTTTAAAGTGCTCGGTGAGAATTGCAAACGCTTGGAAAATCTTCAGTTGGCTCGTTGCAATTGGATGACAGATGATCTCTTACTGCCCATTTTGGCGAGGAATAAACATCTCAAAATCGTCAATCTCAATGAATGCGTTAACATCACACCACTGGCCTTACAGCCGATAATTATAGAATGCAAAGATTTGCGAGTTCTGAAGCTGTCCAAATGTCAGTGGTTAACTACAGGTGCCGTTGATGCTCTGACCCTGCATCAGAGTAACCTTGAGGAGTTTGATATTTCACATTGTGCTGCCATTGGGGAACGCTGCTTGATAATATTCTTCCGGAAACTAAACAAGTTGACGGTACTATCACTGGCTAATACTTTAAGTGTGACCGATCAAGTATTGATACAAATTGCCAATTATTGTCGTGCCCTGGAACATATCAATTTGGTGGGTTGTGCTGCCATTTCAGATTTTGGGATACAGTAAGTACTTGCGGTGATGTGAAAATTAATGTCCCATTAACATGTTTACAGTAAAAACGGGGTACACACCTCAGATCTCAAATTGGATGTGGAATGTAATTTCAAGAACTCGTGTGTGTGTTATAGTGTAACTATAACATATGATTCATTCCTATGGTGATTCAATGTGTAATATTATGAAAGGAAATAATCTTCCATGGGATTTCTGGGCTTTAAGGTTTTTTGTTCGTTTTAAGGAGTGCATTTAATTTGTATTTCTACTTCAAAACATCGATTCACAATTGGTTTGTTCCAGATATGCAAGAATGTAGAAGGTTTTACTACGATAACCGATTTTGCCATTATGATATCGGAAAAAATCGCAATATTAGTAGATTCTTGCCGGTTCTGGAACACATATTGTCGGACAAATCCTCTAACTAATTGGTCTGTTTCAGAACTGCAAGAATTTAAAAGTTTTTACTACAATAACCGATTTTTCCTTTATGATGTCGAAAAATATTGCAAAATTAGTAGATTCTTGCTGCTTTTGGAACAGAGCCAATATTACAGGAAAATCTTAACCAATTTTAAATCAGATAGATTAAGGTGTAAATATTAAAGATTACTTTTACTTTACTAAGAAAATAATAGGCTTCACTCATAATCATGTTAAAGAAGTTGTCTTTAAGGGCAAAGAAAATGTTTTTGGTTTTCCATTCTATTGTTTCAGCTCCGTTTGAAAATCTTTCGAAATAAATTTTTGCAACATTTATCTTTTATATTATGCTTATTACAACTAGTTTGGCCTTCTTGGGATATAAGTATTTTAGGTCATCATGATTTCATACAAATCATCCACAACGATTTTAATGTTCTTGTCTTAAACAAATTTTCTTTTTTTATTTCTTTTTCCATTTCTTCCCTTCTTAGTGCCTTAAGTAATTATTGCCAGCGTCTTCAATCTCTATTTATTCGACACTGCCCTCGTGTCACAGAACGTTCTTTAGGTCCTTTGCGTAAACGCGTTTTTATCGATAGACCAAATCATTTAGATTTTAATCAAAATGACTTTTATCCCAGCGATTTTCTTATTTACTAGCCTTGGCATTATTGAATTGAAAAAATAAATCACTTTACTTTACAGAGCTTTAACAAAAAACTGTACACAATTGAAATCTTTGATGGTCCAACGCTGTGATTTGGTTACGGAAAGATCTCTATGTCCACTAAGAGGCAAGCTGCACATTGATCGTCCGGCCGAAATGCAACTGCAACTCTACGATTTTAGGCAAAACAATAATCATATTTTTCTTCAAGTTTAAAAACAGATATTGCATGAATATTTAGTGGGTGATTAGACGATAAGGGAGGCTATTATAAAGAGAGTGTGATTTTGTAAATATGCTGTTTATCTAAGCTTGCATGCTGCTTGTTTTTTAGTTATATTTTTTTCTTTAAACTAATGTTCGATTGGGCATTGATATTTTCTTTATTGTTTTAATCTTAAAAAATACATACCTATACATAAATACAATACAATAAGCTTACTATCTATAGATATAAACATTCAAAAAATGAAATAAAATTTTATCTGGAATAATGTAACTTTTATCATTGTGCTTTTATTAATGGCGAGGTAATTGTTGCAGTTGTCTCATCTTCTACGGATAATTTTGTCTCATATAGTCGTTGACTTAGGGTCTCCATGTACGCCTTGTGATCTTCCTCGATATTGCTGTTTCGCCATTTCGCGTGTAATTCTTTGACTTTGTGATATGCCGCCATAGACATATTAAGACTAGGCATTACTTCAAGTAGACCAGGTTCGCCGGTAAACGATAGCCCACAGAGACCTAAATATGTGTGGAATGGATCGGTAGTAGAATGTGGCCACTTTGCGAAACCACCAACAATATTATCCTGAGTTTCTAGTATATAGGAACGATTTGCCGCATAATCAGTCATTTCAAATGCATTTAATATCTTTAAAGAAGCTCCAATCCAAAATGAATAGCAAGTATCCACAGGTTTGTTGGGCCTTCCCTGGAATCCATCCACCTGTCGGAATATGCACCAACGTCTAATGTTTTCAATTGTATCCGCATCTAGTCTATGTAATTGGTCACTTAATTGCAAAGCAGCTAATGCACAGTAAGTAGTGCCACCATGACCTTCTCCATCTAAGTGTTGGCTAAATCCATAATCGTAACGCTAAAAGTGTTTTGCGGGGTAAGAACAGTGTATGTTTGGTATAGGAGTGTATACTTACAATGCTCTTAATTATGAAGTCAAACATTTTGTCTTTGTCCACATCGCCCCAATAGTCCAGCATGTGACATATTGCTGCCGCACAGAAAACAAAACGCATATCATTTTCACTGCCATCAATGCAGGCGCTAAAACTGCCATCTGCTTTTTGTACAGCCGCCACACCTGAAAGCGATAAGGAGATACAATGTACACATTGTTGTAATGCACTGCTATTTGTTTTAATTACCATCGACGATTGATTTTCGATCCAAACGTGACAAATCATCTCCTAGTGTAACCAAAATACCTAGACTGGTATATGTCATGGCCAAGTGACCCCACTGATAGCATCTGGCATTACGCAAAAGTTCTTCATCTTCAGTTATTATTTTGATGGAACGAGAACCCTAGAAAAAGAAAAGAAATAACTTAAAAATGTATCGCATACATAGATAAATACAAAAAAGAAACATAAAAGGTATGAATGTAATAATAAATACAATTCTTGTATAAGGAAATTTTAAATATTTAACATAGAACAAAAGTGAGATATGTTCAGAGGGAACATTCAGATCGACAAGCATATCAAACAACAGCAGTGTCTCCTCTGCCAAGGCCTGTCACCCATTATGTAACACAGTAGTGATCCTGCAACAACATGGCTAGTGGAATATATATGGACACCGGCGTAGTCGAAAATGCACCCACGGACGCCTTTCAAAACTACATCTGATTGTTGTTCTTGGAGACCACAGTCTATCCAACTAAATACATATGTGGGAAAAAGTCAAACAGGACAGGTAGAGAGGACATTAGCGCAACAGCATCACGAAGGATTAGGTCGCTAAGCAAATATTGATAAAAGGACTACAAAGATCTGCCTATAAATAGAAGTTCCCCTTGTTAACTGTTCGGCAAAGTCCTCACATACAACAAAGGGAATTAACATCTACTCTGATCATCGAAACACAATCAGCAAAAGCAATAATTAAGATTGATTAAGTTTTTTATAGACATCATGTTATTGAGATCTTCGTGTATGATAGAATTTCGTGTGTAAATGTCCATTCTTAAGCAACACTTAATATATTGCGCCACATTAGCTGGTCCTCCTTGAAGAAGCTCTTTGTTGTAACTGGGTACAGATCCGTATTTATTTAAAGAAATGGCTTTCGTTATATACCTAATACGGCCACTGTTTGCATTTGACACTTTATCTAATTAATATTTATTATAATTATCATAAAATATCAAGTGCTGCTGTATTTAAATTTATGACACCTTGAACTTAACATTGAGTTCATAAATTTGTGAAAGCTTCATCTGAACGAAACAAAAAATCAACTAAATCTGCTAAATACTGCAGTAGCTCATGGACATACTCCATCCATCAAGTCCCAATGAATAAAATCACGTAAAGATAACACAATGATGAGATTTACTTAGCAAACAGTCGGCAGCGTACACAGTTATCAACAATAACAAGAAATGAGATAAATTAAAGTAAATAGATCAAATATTTATAATTTATAGTTACAAAAACAAAAATTTAAATAAAAAATGAATATGTTTGTGGACAACTTACTAGAAATCCTGAGCAATTACGTTCATCTGTGTGGGGTATCACCAGACTGCCATAGGTCCAGTCAATAATGTTTTGTCGCATTTCTGGAGTTAAGAGATGCAACGAATTCAATACATCTAAACCGCAAACAGAGAAAAATGCTATGGTCCCCCTAAAAACATTAAAACAAAGATAAGATGTAGTACAATTATCCATGGTTAAACCTCTTTATTTTACCTTGTTGAGTCATGGGAAGCTAAACGCGCAGGCAGTAGATGCAGGAAACGTACAAAGTACTTGGCATGTTTGGAGAGCAAAACAGGTGCTGCCTCAGCAGCTGGACCTTCTATGTTTACAGCGTCGTAGGACATTTTAAGGTTGGGCAATATGTAGAACTTAGTTGAAGAGGAAAGGATATGAATGTATACCACTGCCGGTTTCTCTTGCTTGCCGTACTTAAAGTGAGAAACTACTCTGGCGGCAGCACCTATTTATTAACAGTCCGGGAGTTTTGTAAACTTCTCTGTTATCTAGGCACGTAATCTTTGTTTGCACTGGCCCAAATTTTCACTTTCAAATCAATTCTCGACATAAAATCACCTGAAGAATGACAATGACTCAAATATTCACAATGGTGTTTGTGCAATCGAACAAAACAATTCACTGAAAAGAACTCTCAAATTAGTTGCGAATGTAGGAAAAGGTGTAGTGGCAAATTGTATAGTATTTTCTTTACGAATAATAGTTGTGTTCCAGTACTTTTTTAGTAGTAAAACTAGCAGAAGAGAGAACAGTTCGAAATGTCATTCTCTTTTAGGTTTGCTCAAAAAATAAGGGAACGGAAAATTAGCAGAAATGCGATAAATTGTCAAAATTCAAAATTCCAAAAGTAAACAGCCTAAATCGGACTAGTGAAACCTTACTGAAATGAGCGCCAACATTTAAAAAATGAAGACGATAAGTTAAAATTAATAATTTATAATAATAATTAATAATCTGATTCCTCATTCAGCCAGTCCTCTTCACTGCTGGAATCATCCAAAAGTGAATACATCAGTTGCTCCATATTTTCTCTTTTTGTTTTTTGCACGACAAATATTATTTTTTCCTTTAGTTTTCAAGTTGATCATTTTCTGTATCAATACATTTTTCAACCTTGTTAGCCCTGGCAATTAAATGTCAAATTTACAATATGCACATTTCTACTCGGCCAAATTCATGTAGCTAAAACAAGCAGAAATGTGCACCACTCAGCGCCATTTTTTTCTCGAGAGAGCTGCAAGTTTTGCTAGTTTTTGGAGTACGGGAACGCGTTGTAGCAGAATTAGTGCTAATTAGTACTAATTTGCAGGTTCTGGAACACAACTAATATGAGAATATTACAAGGTGCAAAAACTAACAAAAACATGTTACGAATGAGAGAGGAAAGCAAACGCGGTTGAAGAGGGAAATATTAAAATATTTACGAATAGGCAAAGGAGGGAACAAGCATAAAGTACAACAGATGTCTCCACTTTTTTAAGCCTGGATCACACCATGCGAAAAACACCAAAAACAAACAAGTCACCCGGCTACACGAAAAATGTTTTGATTTGAAGTGAACTTGTAATAGTTTCAAATTGTTTTCTTTTTCATTCACAATAATACTCACACATATACAACATTTATTAAAACCTGTGCGTTAAACTTATATATTGTAAGTTCTCCATAATCCATTGGGAATTTCTTCGTGAGGGCATGGTAGAAGAATACAGGTAGTCGCATTGACACAGTTGCTGAGACAATAAACTGTAAAATCTATTTTGAAATTTAAATATTTGAATGAAAGTTTTTTTTTTTTTTTTTCAAATTTGTAAGAATTGTTTAAAAATGCATATCATAACAACCTCCCATTGGCGTCCTATAGAGAAATAAATATAAATACACACATTTAAAACAAAAATTCAAAAAATTTTGAATATATCAATGTTCCCAAGCGCTGATGCATCTACCTATATTCTTCTACCATGTGTGAGGGTTAATCCATCTATTAATTTGTATATAAACGAGTTATCGAACGTGCCAAACTTCAAAGTTGAACAAATTTAACTTTTACAGAATGTCTGTTTTACATCTAAATGTTTTTTCAAATATAAGTCGATTTTTATATGTTTTCTTATACGACGTTATTCGGAGGTTATTATAATTCGCGATTTTTAAACAATTTTTACAAATTGAAATAATTTTTCATTCAACATTTTCAATTCCAAATTGGTTTGGCAGTTCTTCTATCTAATAGATGCTTGTCTCGCTTTTTTGAGCGTTTTGCTTTTTAAAAATCTTGAACCCTATGTGGGGGAGGTAGCAGTGCGTGGTATGTACCAGAAGGAGTGGACCGATACATTCCATCTTCACACCAGACCTTGGGTTAATAAAAATATTGTGATGTGTGTTATTTGAAGACAATCTTAAATCACATTTTATATGAGTTATAATTATTTAAAATGTTGACCCTTTGTGGGGGAGGTACTTGATGGAGTGGACAGATATTGTCCATTTTTGCACCTGACCTAGCAGTGATGCAAATATTAGAATTCGCAAGATTCGAGCCAAATCGGATTATCCTTTCTCTTTCTGTGCAGTAAATTATTTTCATTAAAACTCTTGACATTTTGTGTGGGAGGTACCAGAAGGGGTGGACCTATATTGCCCATCTCCGAACTCGATCTAAGTTTGACAATAATATTACGATGTACCAAGTTCGATCAAATCGGATACTTCCTTCGAGATTTATCGTGTGCACCAGCCAGCCATACAGATAGACGGACGGACATCGTTAGATCGACTCCAAATGTCCTGAAACGGATTTGGTGCAAAGAGACGTAGAGTCCAAACCCGTTATTACGATGAGGCACGATATACCTCTTTAGCCATATGGCTGATGGTTTAAAAACATTTTATATCCAAGTGAACGCAAGCTCTATAGATGATGATCAAAGAAGCGAAGAAAACTAACATTTCTTCTGCATCTTACAACCACACTCATAAACATTTTTCTCTTTCTCCACCGTGTGCATTCATTCCCTGGACGATATTTGTCACAACAATATTTCTGTGGAAAGTCAAATGTACACACATTGAGTTGTTTGCCATCTCTGACAATCGAACAGCTGATTGCCGTGCCAAACATCTGTTGTGTTATTCCGAACACTTCCCATTGAACGGCGAAGTTTCATAAGATTCACGTTTGTTTTTTGTTCATCGGTGAAAAAATCAGGAATTATTAATTAAAAATGAGAATAACACAAATCCTTAGGTCAAAACTAAAGAATTTTTCTAATTTCCCAAAGGAGTACATTGAAAGAAGTAAAAAACAGGTAAGTATATAACTGAAAGAATGATAGAAATTGTTGAACAGATATCAGTGGATAGATTTCACTGTTAGAGATAAATGCACCGGTTGAAAACTTTAACGTTAAAAAGAACAAGATTAATATTTTACATATCCCCTTTAGAGATGTTAAATCCTAGCAATGATGGCATTTTTATTTGATTTGGTGTTTTTCCACTTTCTGTCTAACAGGTTTACTATGAAACACCCAAGGGAACACCCCAATACCTTAACCGGACGGTAGAGCGTAAACGCTTCCGTTATACCATGAATCGTCCGTGGACCGGACATTTCCGTCAACAAAATATGCCTGGAACAATTAGAAAAAAGGTCCAAATCACACCCATAGGTAAGCTTTTATTGTGTAGTTATTTATTTTCCAACAATTTTCATTAATGTTACCATTTTTATAGAGGACTGGAGCTATTTCCGTGGTGATCGCGTTGAAATCTTGGTTGGCAAAGATAAGGGTAAACATGGTTTGGTAACACAAGTAATACCCGAACGTAATTGGGTTGTTGTTGATGGTATTAATTGGCATTATCGTACTGTGGGAGCAGAAGAAGGTTTCCCCGGTGTTCTGATTAGGTCGGAAGCTCCATTGGATGTAAGTTAGATTGATATTTTGCAATAAATATGCATAAGCATTCTAAACAAATGGCTACTTTGGTTTATAGGTTACCAAGGACATACGTTTGGTTGATCCATCCGACTTGCAAGGCTGTGAATTTGAATGGCGTTACACAGAGGATGGCGAAAAAGTCCGTGTTTCTGTGCGTACTGGTCGCATAATACCAATTCCTGAATCAAATAATCATACACATGATTACAAGGCCAAAGCTGCCTACATAGAAAGAGAAGGAAAAGATACACCAGGTAAATGTGGTTAACGAATAATTAGTCGAAATATCCAACATTTGTGTTTTTGGTTTTAAAATTGCTCAAAAAACATGTTTTAAACAAATATTAACCTTTCTACAAAGGTACATCTTGAAATCAGTTTTAGGTGTGAGGGAAAAATCAGGATACTTTAAGCTAGAAAGGTTTTAGATGTTAAAGCAGATGTATTGAGAGGAGAGCGTTGGACTGCCATTTTAGCTGAGTCCAAATATAGCAAGCTCAAACTCTATATTGGTACACATCGTCGCACGCTGGTAAATGCTTTTTGGAATTAACCTAGCATGTAACCCTTCATAACGAATAAGAACGATGTGTAAAGCTAGTACCTACAGGATGAGATAAAAAAACTGCAACAGAGTCGAATGCCATAATTTTTATTTTTTTTTTATTGAATGAAAGTAAAAAATGTCGGAAATAGCATCAACTTTTAGAATAAGTTTAGATTTATTTGAATTGGTCATCTTTGGCAGGAATTATGGCCTTGAAACGGTCAATGAAACCGTCACACGCTGCCCGAATGTTGCTCTACGGTATTTTGGCCCATTCCCGGCGAAGCGCTTGTTTGAGGTGATCGACACTTTGGTATTTTTTAGTGCCAACCTTGTTTTCCAAAATGATCCAGACACAATAGTCCAAAGGTTTGGTATCCGGCGATTTTGGAGGCCATTGTGCGCTGGAAATGAAGCGAGAGACCTCATTTTGTAACCATTCTGTGCGTGCTGAGTGCGATGGTGCTGAATCCTATTGGAATGTCCAAGATCTGCGGCCAAAATTTTTGCGTGTCCAAGGTTTTAATACACCCTCCAGAACATTTTCGCGATAATATTCGGCATTTATTCTGATGTCACGGTCGATTAATACGAGCGGAGAGCGACCATCGGCTATAATGGCGGCATCACCATCACCATGGCCGTAGCTTGAGTTCTGGTGGCCAACCGAAGGAGAACATTTTCAGCTGACTTTTCTGGAAAGTTAACACGATCATTTTGTTTGTTTACAAACTGCTGGACAACGAATGTTTTCTCATCGGAGAAAACGAAATTCTGCAGTTCACCACTTTCGGCCAAGCGAAGCAACTCTTTAGCTCTTTTGATTCTATTTTCTTTCTGTTATGGTGTAAGTTCTTGCACTTTTTGGAATTTTAATGGCTTTACCCCGAGCTCATTTTTCAATATTTGCCGAATGGAATATTGCGATACGTTCAGCTTTCGAACCATTTTTCGGCCACTGCGACGCGGGTTTCGATCAAGTCGCTTCTTTACTTTTCGAACCATTTCAAACGAGCGATGGTACGAGACACAAAAGATTTATTCACATTTAAACGATAGCTACTTGTGGTTTTCCAGCCAAATATAAAGAAATCACACTACCACACATGAATTCCATTACGATTAACTGGAAAATTCTCACCAAAATGTTTGTGTACGCATAATGAACTGGAGCCACTGGAATAATTTTAATAGCTGTCGAAAGAGTGGCATAGAAATGACAACAGTATGAAGTTGGTTGCAGTTTTTTCATCTCACCCTGTATATTCTTAGAGGTGCGCAATGGAGAAACCTGCCAGCATTTAATACCAAATGTGTCCAGTGGGAAACACTACTTGTTATTAAACAGACACTCCCCACTGACATGATAGAGATCTGAAGATCTAGGCTAGAACTAGATCTGTTCAATAGACTTAAGGGAATTTTTACCAATTACTTCTCGTTTAAAGGTGTTAGGTATAAATACAGCAGGCATTTGAAAAAGAAGAAAGCTCTATATCGGTGTAGTGAAATTTTGGACGCATCCAGCATGTATTCCTTCATAGCGAAAAGGATACATTGGCGACAATATATTCAGAGCTAGACTTATTTTCTTGAAACACTCAAGGGAGAAATCTTTCAACGTATAATAAACCAATAAAATTAAATGGACCGGGTTCAGATAATTGGAATCAGTTACCTTACCTTGCTTTCCATCTAAAGTATAAAAGTTGTCCACATCTCCAAAATATGTTTCAGAATAAATATGATTTTTGTTTAATGTAGCAAAATGCAATTCTAGTCTTCGATGTGACTTTTTTACTAACTATTATCTGTTTTTGTATCTTTACAGCCACCGTAATTCAAGAGGTCACCTTCAAACCTAAATTGTCAACATTCGAAATGGATATTATGGAAGAAATGGGAATAGAAGAAGACCGCATACCCAAAAAGAGTTATTGGTATTAGACATGTCATAACCCAACAAACAATAGTAATAAATTCAAAACTTGTTGTTATATGTAAAAAATGTTAATTTAATTAACAAATTATTATGATTAAAAAAATAAACAATACAAAATATACAATAAAGCATTAAAACAAGTAACTAAACCAAAACATAATTATTTTCTGGCCATTGTAAATATTTCCTCACGATGATCTCTTAGATTTTTAGCCAATGTTTTGACTTTCTCCTCAGCTCGTTCAAAATCTAGCCTCAGTGTTTTATTGAATGTCTCATAAAGCCATGCCGAGGCTTTCGAAATGTTCGATTCGTAGGAGACAAATACTTTTGTTGTGTGTTCGTAACGCGCTAAATTGGCAATATCGGTAATCATGTAGGTATTGCAATGTTTTACGGCCAAAATTTGACGATTACTGGTATATTTGATTTCCACGTGTGGCAATGAGAGCTGTGCACATTCCAAAGAAACCAGCGATGCTTGCAGGTCTTTGCGACATGCCAATGCTGTTTCTATTTTATCCTTTGGATTTCTAAAAAAGGTGAGAATATTTCAGATAAATTAAATAATATCTTTTACACTATTTTGTATCATTTCAGCTAACAGCTTACACTATTGTTTTAAGTTTACGCCATTGTTTAAGACTTTGGGTTGCAGAATTGGCACATGCTCTAAGCAAGAGACCACATATCCGCCACTGTTCCAATGTACTGCCCAATTTATCTCTGATATCACGTGCCACCTCTAGTTGGGCATCCAAACTTTCCTCCAAACGACTCATATAAGTACCGCCACTAATAAAAGCTGAAAAAATCAATTGGAAATATTATGGGATAACATGTTATGGCATAGCAGTTTGTTACTACCTATTATTCCATCATGATTAACATATAGCTCATTCAATTCAGCATAGCTTTCCATAAGAGTTTTCAGTCTAACTTTTGTATGTTCCAAAATTTCCGCATAACAACGTACTGCCATCAAATGCATGGCGGATTCACTTAGCTGTGCAAAAAAATCTTCATGTGTGGAAGCCTTGTTTACATCAACGATTACACCTAAGTTTAAAGCTAACTGTAATTTGAAAAAAAGAAATATATTATTTCAAATTATTGGATATACAGGGTGAGATAAAAAACTGCAACAAAGTCAAAAAAAAAAATTGTAAATTTTTTTAATTTAATTTAATTTAATTAAAATGTCGGAAATAGTTTCAAATTTTAGAAAAAGTTTAGATTTGTTCGAATTGGTCACCTTTGGCACGAATTATGGCATTCCAACGGCCAATAAAACCGTCACACGCTGCCGAATGTTGCTCTGCGATATTTTGGCCCATTCTCGGCGAAGCGTTTGTTTGAGGTGATCGGCACTTTGGTATTTTTTTTTGTGCCAACCTTGCTTTCCAAAATAAAGCAAAAGCATTTGGTGAGAACAAAATGCTTTTGTACGTTTGTAAACAATATAATGAGCTGTCACTGGAATAATTTTAACATCTGTCGGACAAGTGGCTAGGAAATGACAGCAGTCTGAAATTGGTGCAGTTTTTTCACCTCACCTTGTTTGCATAAAGAAATGTTTAATAATGCGCAGCTATCATATCTTAAGTCATGAATTGAAGACTTTAATTCGAATAATGCTTCAATAAAGTTGTTATGCTTTTTTGGAGAAATTGTCAAGGCTTCACATTTTAGATGTATACACATAGATCTTAATGGGTATTATAACCTATGACAACAAGCTAAAAAGTATCAGTCGGTTTTGCCGACAGATGTAAACCCTGTACGACTATTATACCCTACAACACTATGTGTTGGGGGTATTATAAGTTTGATTGGGCCAGCATTTATGTAACACCTCGAAATATTGGTTTCCCATATAGGAAAGTATATATGGATCTTCCTAGCTCGCTGAGCTGAGTCGATCTAGCTATGTATGTCCGTCCGTCCGTCTGTCCGTCTGTCCATGTTAATTTGTAATCACTCTACAGGTCGCAATTATGGCCCGATCTTCACGAAATTTAACATGTAGGTGGGGTTAATGTCAGAATAGAACCCTATTTCTTTTGGAGATGATCGCCAAATGTTTAGGGGTTGAAATGGACCAAATACTTAAAAAATGTCGGATTTTGCAATAGCTATACAGGTCGCAATTATAGACCAATCGACGCGGAATTTCGCATGTAGCTAGAGTTTAGGGCGGGGAAGAAGCCTACCAATTTGGGTGGTCATCGGATAAAATTTAGCGGGTAAAATAGACCATATCTTTTTTGTTGAAAAAAATTCAAAATTTTTCATTAAACCACGAATATTTTATGTCCCGGGGAAATCACAAAGCCATGACAAGGTTACTTCTGATCTTTACATTGATGTTAAGATCCAAAAAATCGAATATATAGCAAAATATATGCGATATATATGTCTAACAAAGAAGATATTCTTGAAAGATCTCATATATGTCGAGAACGACTGAACTGATTTCGACAGTTCTCATTAATTCAGAATGGCCTCTTGGCAGGAAAGAAAAAACGTCAAAAAATCGCATAAAAATATCTCTCTAAAGATGAAAATATTGATTTTGTAACATTTTCTCATATTTTTTCAAATTTGGCATATTTTTGGCATATTTTCATTTTTTTTTTTGAATTATACATTTGGTGATATTTCTACAGCTAACAAAACTAAGTAGTTAGGATATCAGGATATCAGATCGCATTTATGGCCCGATCCTTACGAAATTTTGCATGGGGATAAGATGAGGGTCAGAATAGAAGCCTACTCTTTTTGGAGATGATCGCCATATATTTAGGTGTTGAAATGGACCAAAAAACGGAAAATTGTCAGCAGGTCGTAATTATCACCCGATCCTCACGCACATTTGAATGGGGGTTACCGGACATTGCAAAAGCCAAGCAGTTTTGGATGGTCATTCAAAAATATTCAATGTGTGAAGGAGTTTGCCAATTTTTGTAGACAAAATACGAAAAAAAAATAATTTTTGGAGAATTCACAAATACAGGAAAGATGCACTTCTGACTATTTCGTTAACGCAGATTTCGTTGAAGAATATAGTCAAATGTCTATATCTCATATAGATGCGTTTCCGTCAAAAACCAATAATAAATGATAATATTTTGCCACTTCTGAGAGATTATAGGTCTTTGGGAAATATTGGTTCCAGATCTAGGAAGACCATTTACCTGCAACATCTACCAATAAATTGGAAATGAGCAAATTAGTTTAAATTGCTGTTATTCGAAAATTAGAGAACGAAACCTGATGGTTTTCTTTTATTATTTGTCACAATATCTTGTGGAATTCTTTCGAGTATCTCGCCTATATAAACTGTATGGTTTATTATAGTGTTGTAGGGTATTCAACGGTCGGCCCCGCTCGACTGTAGCCTTTGCTTACTTGTTTAAATATATTTTTACTTGTGTTATGATTATTCAAATTTTGTGACCTTGTATGGAGTAGGTGCTGAAGGAGTGGGCCAATATTGTCGATTTCGTATCGGTGTTAAATAAATATGATATTATTATTGCGACGTGCCAGGTTTGGACTATATTAATATGAGATATGTGACAATGTTTGGAAAATGTTAAAATAAAAATATTGGTCTGGACAATGTTACAAGAAAATCAAATATTTATATCCAATTTCATTCGAAATCATAAATTCCATATTCATCCCAGGTTTCTGGTTGAGAGAAATATTTAGTTGTAAAGAATCGCTGACTTTTTTCACAAGTTATTACAGATAAAAGTATTGAAAATTGTGACCCTTTGTGGGTAAGATACCAAAAGGGGTTTGTAGATGTATATCATATTCAAAACAGATCCTGTGTTAGCAAAAATGTTTGAATGTGTGAAATATGAAGAGAGTTGGATTTTTACATCGCTTTCTTTGGGCGTTTTGTTTTTCAAATCTTGAACCATATGTGGTGGAGGTTGCATATAAAATGGTCCAATCTCTACCATCTTTATAACAGATCTCGTTTTGAAAGAAATATTGAGAGTCTGAAGGAAATCGGATGTTATATTCAGAAATTTGACCCTCTGTGGGGGAGGTACCAGAATGAGTGGACCGATGTATCCCATCTTCACAGCAGATCTTGTGTTAGTAGAAATAATGGAATGTGTGAAATATGAAGAGAACCGGAGGCTTATTTCTGATTTTATAATCGTTTTGGTCCTTCAAAAGTTTTACCCTTTGTGCGTGGGGTACCAGAAGGAATGGTCGGATCTCTACCATCTTTATAAAAGATCTTTTGTTGATGGAAACATTGATATGTACCAACTCTTAATAATATCGGATGCTTATTTCGCTTTTGGATATTCCAAATTTTGAATCTTTTGTGGGGGAGATACCAGACGGAGTGAACCGATATATCCCATCTGCAAAGTTGGAGCAAAATCGGATTATCATTTCTCTTTCTGTGCAGTAAAATATTTTTTTTTGAAAATTTCGAGCCCATTTGGGGGGGTACCAGAAGGAGTGAACAGATATAGCCCATCTCCGAACTCGATCTAAGTTTGATAATAATACTACGATGTACCAAGTTTGGCCCAATTCGGATACACCCTTCGATAGTTATCGTGCGCACCAGCCATCCAGACAGACGGACGGACGGACGTCGCTAGATCGACTACAAATGTCCTGAAACTGATTTAGTCCAAAGAGACCTAGTGTCTAAAACCGTTATTTCGATGAGGCATGTTTTGGCCGTATCACATGATATATGCCATATGTCTGAGAGTATAAATAAATACTTAAGGAGACGGTACATAAGCAGCTTGGCATCATAGCTAGGCATATTAATGTCAAATGTCAAAAGAGAAACGACGGCAGAATTCGAGTGCGGCTCTGTATCCCTTATGTCATGCGAAGACTTCAAGCTGTTTATGTACTCTGACCTTTATGTAGGTCCACGTCTTCGGTTACCCCCTATATAACGGTATCTCCCGATATTTGGCATTTTAATTCCAGTGAATAACGTCGCTAAGTTATTCACCCGATTTTTTTCGTATTTCGTATTTGAAGTTCGTAATGGATACTTTAACCTATAACAGAAAATTGTAGTCTTCATATACCCCACATATAGCGGTACCTCGATTCGTCACAGAAGACCTGAACATCAACATACCCACCACCTACATCGTCCATCCTAAACTCTGATTATATACCACCAGTCGTCTGGCTCTACGATTATTCGTCAAATTTACCGATTATCTTTCAATCGTCACCATACCAGACGTCGACATCAATCCGAACACAAACATCGTAAATCCTGGTCTCCAGGCTAAACATCATATTTCCCGTTTGTTCGTGCGCCCTCTGAATAAAACTCTAGAATCCCCGATCGTGTACGAGTCATGGAAAATGTTGAATTTTCCGATTATCAACTGAATAACTCTATTTGGAATTCCCGAGCATCTCCGAAGTTAATTCGCCATGCTACGTTCTCTATTCATCGTATCGCATTTGAACACGAGTAGATTTTAATTTAGTATTCAAATTAATATAACATCTTATTTACATCTCAGTAATGGGAGAAATCTACTCTTTTTGTTTCATAGGGTTTAGTGGGTCCTTATGGAGATCCTGGCCACAGCTGTGCTTACCTCAGACGACAAGAAAAACAAGTTACAATACCTCATTCCAAAAGTGAAGTGATTTCCACTTACGGACAAACAAGCAGACAGAGACATAGAATCTTATGCTGATCAAAAATACAGGGTGAGATGAAAAAACTGCAACCAACTTCAAATTGCTGTCATTTCTATATGTCTGTCCGATATCGCAATATTCCATTCGGCAAATATTGAAAAATGAGCTCGGGATAAAGCCATTGAAATTCCAAAAACTGCAAAGTACACCGCAACAGAAAAAAAAAATAGACTTAAAAGAGCTAAAGAGTTGCTTCGCTTGGCCGAATGTGGTGAACTGCCGAATTTGGTTTTCTCCGATGAGAAAACATTTGTTGCCCAGCAGTTTGTAAACAAACAACATGATCGTGTTCACTTGCCAAAGAGGTCAGCTGAAAATGTGCACCTTCGGTTGGCCACCGGAACTCAA